CTAATATAAAAAATAAATTAAATAATAAACAATAAAATAAATCAAAAATAAATAAATTAGTTAATTAATGTAAAAAAAACGTTCACATAAATAAAAAAATAAGTGCAGTCTTTTAATGCCTTTTAAAGCCATTAATGCTTTTGCTTACTTTAATAATTTGTTTATTACTTTATTTATATTCCATAGGTGCAGACACATGGAAACAAACACACACACAGAAGTCCAATTATTGTCTCTTTTTGCAGTCACATCTGCATTTGCAGTGTCATCATCTAAACCGCTTATCCTTCTGGGTCACAGTGGGGTGCTGGAGCTTATCCCAGCTGTCATTGTGCGAAGGCAGGATACACCCTGGACAGGTCGCCAGTCCATCGCAGGGCAGACAGACAGACAGACATACACAATCACACACACACACACCTAGGGGCAATTCAGCATGTCCAATCAGCCTGACTGCATGTTTTTGGACTGTGGGAGGAAACCGGAGTACCTGGAGGAAACCCACGCAGACACGGGGAGAACAGGCAAACTCCACACAGAAATGACCCTGGTCACCCAGCAGGGAATCGAACCCAGGCCATTCTTGCTGTGAGGCGACAGCGCTACCCACTGCGCCACCGTGCCGCCCTGACACCTAACAGTGATGACTATTTACCTGTACTAGAACATGACAGAGTGATGTGCACAGACTTGAGTGCGGGGAGTTATACGAAAATACATCTATAGACAAACTTATTTTAATATTGTTATATTTTGTATGCAGACCTGATTATGATTATACAAATGTAATGTATATTCAACTTTTTATGTTTTTCTTGTTGCAAGAACAAAATAGATTTAATCCCATTAAATGTTCTACAACCCCATTTCCAAAAAAGTTGGGACGCTGTGCAAAATATAAATAAAAACAAAATGCATGTGCAAATCATTTAAACCCTATATTTCATTAAAAATAGTACAAAGAAAATGTATCAAATGTTGAAACTGAGAAATTTAATTGTTTTTTGAAAAAAGCATCCCAGAGAGGCTGAGTCTTTCAGAAGTGTAGATGAGGACGGATTCACCACTCTGTGACTGCACAGGCAAATAGTGCAACAATTTAAGAATAATGTTTTTCAACATAAAATAGCAAAGAACTTTTGCTTTTCATCACCTACGGTACATAACAACATTAAAGGTTTCAGAGAATCTGGAGGGCCAAAATACAGTATTTGCTGGCCATGATCTTTGGGCCCTCATTCAGCACTACATTAAAAACAGACATGATTCTCTAGTGGAAATCACTGCATGAGCTCAGAAACACTTCTGAACAACACTGTCTGTGAAAACAGTTCATCGCTGCATCCACAAATTCAAGTTAAAAGTCTACCACGCAAAGAAGAGACCGTCCATAAACAGGATCCAAAAATGCAGTCGCCTTCTCATTTCTCCGCCACCTTCTCACCAATTTCATTTAAAATGGACTGACGGGAAGCGGAAAAGTGTCCTGTGGTCCAACGAATCAACATTTAAAATTCTTTTTGGAAATCATGGACACTGTGTCCTCCAGGCTAAAGACCACTCAGCTTGCTTGCCAGTACTCATGATGGTATAGGGGTGCTTTAGCGCACATGGCATGGGTGACATGCACATCTGTAAAGGCACCATTAATGCTGAACACTATATACATGTTTTGGCAACAAATGCTGCCATCCAGATGATGTCTTTTTCAGGGAAGGCTTTGCTTATTTCAGCAAGACAATGCCAAAACCACATACTGCATGTATTACAACAGCATTGCTCCGTATTAAAAGAGTCCGGGAAGGGCGTTCTTATGTTCTTATGTTACCTAACATGAAGAGTGTCCACATCCACTCCATGCAAGCTCTGTACTACAGACTGTAGTTCAACTGTTTCTCTGCGTACTTTGTTCCTCAGTGGTCAGGACCCCTATGGACCCTCACAGAGCAGGTACTTTTTGGGTGGTGGATGATTCTCAGCACTGCAGTAACACTGACATGGTGGCGGTGTGTTAATTTGTGTTGTGCTGGTATGAGTGGATCAGACACAGCAGTGCTGCTGGAGTTTTTAAACACGTCAGTCTCACTGCTCGACTGAGAATAGTCCACCAACCAAAAATATCCAGCCAGCAGTGACCTGTGGGCAGCGTCCTGTGACCACTGATGAAGGACTAGAGGATGACCAACACAAACTGTGCAGCAGCAGATGAGCTATCATCTCTGACTTTCAGTGGTGGACAGTAATGAAGTAAATGTAATTCATTACTGTACTTAAGTAGTTTTTTTGTGTAAGTGTACTTCACTGAAGTATTTCTATTTTGGTTGACTTTTTACTTTCACTCCAGTACATTTCAAAGTCAAATATCTTACTGTTTATTCCACTACATTATGCGAAATCTGTCATTCCTTTTGGCTTATGTGTGTATAAAAACGTAACATGTCAAAATGAAAGAAGCGCAAAGCAAGCACACCAATCAGGGTACAGCGCACACTTTGTTTTATGCTTGTCTTGACCTATAGCTACCCAGTGTAAGCATACGGTTCAACGTCAGTTCAGCAGCATAAAATTTGAGGAGTGTCTATTCCTACATAAATGATGTAAGAAACTCCTGTTTCATACCTAACTTTGTGTAAATAGACCACAATATAGAAATATGTACACATATGCAGTTGTGACTGCCATGTGTCTTTTTTCTGAATTTATACAAACACTATTCCATTTTATAGTAAATTTGTTTTTGCTAGTTTATGTTTATGAACAGAGACCTACTGATGCAATATAGTGAAGGAAAACACATTTGTGAACCTGTGCTTAAAGCAAGTTTTATTGAACTTGTAACTAAGTTGCAAATAAATCTTAAACTGAAACTTGTTTGCAAAAAGTTATTTCATGGCCACTTGGTTCTACCTAATGGAAATTGTTTGCATTCAACGTTTTGTGCTTATGATAATTTCAATAGACATCAGTCACAGACTAATTAATGACATTCTATTAAAAGATTTGTTTATCAAGAGTGACACTAGAGTATTTTCACCTAAAATGAGTTAATGAAGCAAGAGTCTTCTTACAAAAATGGTAATAGGATATTAGAGTCATAATTAATATTTCAGTACTTTTACTTTACTACGATACTTAAGTACATTTGAGGGCAAATACTTTTGTAATTTTCCTCAAGTGGAGGTCTAAAGGGAGGACTTCTACTTTTACTGGAAAAATATTTTACAGTGGGTATCTCTACTTTAACTCAAGTACATGGTTTGTGTACTTCGTCCACCACTGCTGACTTTACATCTACAAGGTAAACTGACAAGGTAGGAGTGTTGATAGAGTGGACAGTGAGTGTCCAGCCTGTTTGCTGCCATTACAGGGCCACATCTCAGCTACCTTTAAACCACCAGTGCCAGAACTGATGCACAACTCAAAAACCATTAGTAAGAAAACCAGGTCATTACAAAAACTGTCCTGTTGGGTGGGAATGCTGCACAGTGCTATGAGGCTCAGGGAGAGGGGGTGTTTACACTCTTAGACTACCAGCTGCAGATGGCTATAGTGTTGATGGGATTTGAACTCACGATTTCCTGATAAATGAGCACATTTTTTACAGTGTACTGTGCCATATGTGGCCAAGATCTGAATGTGCCCATGCACCCCCAAAGTCCTTTTAATCCCTGTTTAAAATATAAATGATTATCATGTAGCTCATATCAGCACTGGCAATGTTTGCAAGAAGTGGCCCAGATCTGTTTTGAGATGTGTGGGCCATTAAGCATTTTAATGTGGGCCACTTTTGGCTGACAATGAGTTTGCCAATGTCAATGGTTGCAGCACTGCAATGTTTCTGCCAGAAGTGGCCCAGATCTGTTTCGAGATATGTGGGCCATATGAACATTTTAATATGTGGGCAACTTTTGGCTCACATGTAGTTAGCCAGTGCCAACCATGGGCCAGCAGTGCCATATCTTTGCCAGAAGTGGCCCACATCTGTATGCTATTTGGGAATAATCTGACTCTGTGGCCAACTAATTAGCTTGCAGCATCATTTCATAATGGCCAAATACAACCAAAAAAATTGTTTGGATTTTGCACGGTTTGTACAGCCCTGAGCTGCGCACAACTCAGGCATCTTTTTACAGTCTAGTCTTCTGAAAGTTATGACAGAACTTGGAGAGAGGAGAATAACCACTCTGTAATATCTTCCAGGTTTCTCACATGTTAGAGGGCGCTCACGAGCGAGTCCAGAATGAGTGGTTAAGATGGAGTATTTGAGCAAAAACATCGTCTATAAAAGCTTAGACATTTTTAATATAAAACAATGCATTCAATCCGTTATATGAGCCCCACTGATGACATCCTGTATAAATAAAAACAATGTGTGGCCACGCATTATTTTTATTTATATGGGATGTCACCAGCGGGATTCCGTAGAAAACTGTTTTTTTCTGATTTCTGACACCACTGGAACGCAGCATAATTCAAAGACTCCTTCTGACCTCAGAAAGAGCAGTCAGTCTATCGCTGACAGCCAAGCAAGCAAGACGTTGCCAGGCTTAAAGCATATTGTTAGAAGAATCATTCCATGTGTGCGGCAAGGCTAGAGCTAAATACAGCCTTAAATAAGGAGTGAAACCAACAGAATCTAAGATATGCGTACTATGGTTTGTCAGTATGAATATTAATATAGACAATTATTACTTTATTTGAAAATATTTTTAAACTTGATAAAAAGACACGTTTGCGTAGCAAAGAAAATGGCTATATTTTTGTTGTAAAAATTATTACCCATGGTTCCTATCACCAACATTGTAAAGAACATCCAAGTCAAAAAGATTCTCTACAAGGCACCATTTCACATCAACACGTTCTGAATGGCTTTGATTACACCTCAAACAGTATGCAAAAATATAGAAAAATTGGTGGAATTCCCCTTTAGGATCTTTGCCTTCCGTCTCCATACTAGGGAAATGTTCCCCTCCAAAGCAGTAGGGGGTGATAATGCATTATTGTTTCGAATGCCCACCGCCATTTAACAAGAAGAAGAAAAAGACGTTTGTACAGAAAGAGTAGTATTATCAACAAAAAAGGTTTTCTTTAATTGCACTAGGTACAGTGATGACACATTTACTTCATTGATATCAAAATGTCGCTAGACTTGGAAAAGTGCTCGAGAAGCCTATTAACGTGCGAAAAATCTAACTTCCTGAATGAACAATCACGTCATGAAATGCACGTGTCAAGACACTGTTTCAACTATAAGGTAAGGTTGCAGGTTGCAGCTAAAGAAAACTTGCAAAGCGATTTGGCTCGTTGGCAATTCAGAACCCGTTAGCTAGAAAGCTTTTGAAGTGGAAAGTTATATTTGTTTATGGATTTGTGTTTTGCGCATGGTTGCCCAGTGAAACAATAAAATAGGCTTTGCATTAATGATGCGCTTTACCAGCTCAATAGCATTTGTAACATTTTAAGAATGCTGTTTTTTCATCAAGTAGTCCAACCACTTAGATGCGCTTTTTATGTATAAAATTACTGACTGTAACTCATTGCCGTTGGTCAGCCACTATCTACAAACCTAAATTCAAAAAACTGGGACAGTATGTGAAATGCAAATATAGAAAGGAAGCAGTGATGTGTAAGTCCACTTTCACTCGGCCTGCAAATGTTTTATCTTAGTTCTTTTTCTTATATTTAATTTGACTTATTTTTAAATCATTTATTAGTTTATTACATATTACTATATTATATTTAGTTGTATATGCTTTATCATCTTTATTTATTTACTTTGTACAGTACAGTCATATCTTCAGAGCTGTAACACAGGCAAGAACACCTTAGGGGGCAGTCCATGGATTTCGGCATCCTCTCAGTGTCCATATACAATTCCCCAGGGGTGAATCACATTCATAACATAGATATAGATATATGTTTTATAATAAAACATACTGTAATCACGTTTAAATTAGGAGAAGAAAAAAATCCACAGGAGTTGTTGCATCTCTTAGATCACGTCAATTGAAAAAATGAGATAACATATATTTTTAATTGTAACCTTGCCGTTATGTTTTATGTAGTAAATAGCCTTAACTTTTTCTCTCCATATTGTTATTCTGGGGGGCCGTAGCCTCAGTCAGGACACTGTGATTACCTTCTTAGCAAGTAATTACTTAGTAATGATGTCTGATTGTTATCTTATACATCTTCTGGTAATATTCCTTATAAAATGTAAGATGGAATAAGGGTAGCTGTATATCACAGCATTTGTGTATTACATTTTGTATGTTTTGCCAGTATTTTGATCATTTTGGACAGTCCCAAAATGTGTGTATGGTCTCTTACCAGGCCACCGCCCCTCCAGCACTGATCCGCAAGGCCACTTAATAGATGTAACCAGTTTTCCAGTTTTTGTCTGAAATTATGTTGTTCATCTCCAAATCTCATTTTTCTCTCAAATCCACAGTTATCCATTAGCATTTCTTGTAATATCTTAATATGTTATATATATATATATATATATATATATATATATATATATATATATATATAATATGTTATATTATATATATATATGTTGCGATATAATTTTCTTCTTAATAGTCTCTTTAATTGTTAACAAAAAATGTTCTATATTGGATGGAGAATTACAATATTTTGTCCTGTTCTTTGTGTCTCTAAGTAATATCTCAGCTGTAGGTATCTAAATAAGTCATGGGCTGGAAGGTTGTGTTTATGCTGAAGCTGTTTAAAAGACATCAGGTCTCCTCCTTTAAATAACTGACCAAACATGATTAAACCTTTTTCATCACATTTTTAAACTCTAGTCTTTTAGTTTTTAACTTTAGTCTTCTTTTGATTTGTTTTAGTTGATTAAATTGAATTTTACTTTTTTCCAATCCCAGTTTTAACTCTGAACCCTGTTTAACTTGCTTGGCTACATTGTAAATGAGGGTCGTCCTCAGTGTACTTCCAAGTACACTTCCAACAGTTGATTGAATTTGACCAGTAAAAGGACAAGATATTTAATATTTTATTTTAGCAGCTTAATTGTTTTTGCGAATATACACTCATTCTAACATTGATGCCTGCAACACATTCCAAAAAAGTTGGGAATTAAGACTAGAAATGTTCAGAAAACATTTTAGGTATAAAAAGAGCACCCAGGGAAGGCCTAGTTCTCTATAGGCAAGCATGGGTTGGGGCTCACCGCAAGGATTTTAGGTATTTCACTCTCTGAGTACTGAATACTAACAAAAGATGCATTTCTGTTTTGGGACCTTTGACACATTTGCATGAATTGTTATTGTTTGATAACTGAATAACTGTGGTAGTATGGTCCTGTGACAATAAATGCTGTTGTTAGTAACAAACTAGCTTTAAATTTTTTTATTAATTATTTATTATGTATTATAATTACATTTTGAAGAGTGAGAACGTCCCCAAACTGTTGACAGGAAGCGTTTATTCAGTGAGTATTTTCATGCATTATAAAAATAAATTGTGGTGAAATGTTTTCTGATTTGCAGATTTCTTTGCTGTTACCTGAATGTGAAGTCCTACCTGTCAGGGTAGCAAACGTGATCCATAGTTTCAGCTCATATTACCTTGTACGGGATCTGCCAGTTTATAAATTCCTGGAAGAGAAATGGCTTGCAACAGTTGTCAACAAAGGTAAGAGTAGAGAGTTGGACACTAAGCTGTTTTACCTCTGCATTGATGCTTTTCACCTTGGTTCAGACCTGACTACATTTGTCATTCTTTTATTATAGGCAGTTTTTATGCTCTGTCTTGCAAAACCAGAATTGATGAAGACAACGTTTGTGCACTTTTGTCCAGTGGTGAGTATGATTAATAATCTGTCATTGTCATGGAAAAAAAAAAACTTAATTGGCTGTTGTGGTAGAGGTCAACATGCTCATACAAAACAATAACATATTATATCTATTAAATAATATTTTTAAATACATATGTATTCTTTTATATTTTTGAATGTGCTAACAAAGATGTTTAAAGGTGGTTTTCAAACTGGTCCTCAGGAACCTCCACACGGTCCACATTTTTGCTCTATTTCTATGTTGGGTTGGAGCAAAAGTCTGGATAGTCTGACTGTATTTATGTATTGGAACTATATAAAGCCATTTATTTATTTATTTATTTATTTTGGTATGTAATAGTTGTGTAAATATACATATTGTTGTTTTTTTGTTCCAAAATTGGTTTGTTGAAGAATTGTAAGTGAGAATCTTACAATCTTAAAAACTTTGGTTCCCATTTAATCAAGAATCGTGCAGCCCTAATTTAGATTTGAATTTTGGCTTTCAAATCCTGTGCTTAATATGACAAGGGACATGAAGTAACACAGTAAAAAAGGGTACATTTTGATTTCAGGTTAACCATAGCGTCTTTCTGCTGAGAGAAGTGAAGTTGCTATGTTATATTATATTATATTATATTAAAGCTGGGCAATATGACTATGTGTCAGTATTGTGATAATTTCACAATATGTAATTTTTATGTACTTTTCTGAATATATTGTAGATATTGTCACATTTCAACTGGATCTTTGATTATAGCATTATTAGTCCCATTTGTTTGGATTTTGTACAGCACAATGTGTGAAATGTTGAATACAAATAACTGGATTCATAGTTTTTGTATGTGTTTTTGTATGTAACAATTTTGCCATATTGCCAACCTCATATATTCTATTCTATTCTATTATGACTTTACTATCATTATTATTATTATTATTATTTTCTTTATTATTATTATTATTAACTTAAATTGATAGGCTTAAGTATGGAATAATAAAATATCTGAGCTGAACACTTGTTTCAGTTACAGTCAGCAAGCCTTTAACAAGATTCCGTACCATAATATTTGCAGTTTGATATTTTTGATCTTATGTAATTGTTGAAAAGGTGCAGGGTTCTGATCTTTTTTTTCTTCCAGGTCAGTTGATACTGTCACTGGACAAGGACACATATGAGCAACTTGGCTTGGAGGGAAGACCATCGTTATACAGTCATAAAAAGGTCATGAGATATGGTATGCCTTTGGCAACCTATTAAAAACAGTGTTTGTAGAAACCTCTGCAAGTTCAGCATATTACAGTCCTGTTGAAAACAATATCTGGCAAACATATTCACACAGAGTGAATGAAACAAAATTATTTGTTCTGGCAGAAATAATATGTTCTGGCAAAATAATGCCTTGAAAAAATTTAATTTACATATTTAAATGTAGCCAATAGTCAATTTGTTTTAACACTTATGAAGTGTACTGAATGATATGCATATGGTAGCTTACAGAGCTTCTTTAGAAACATTTGACTCGGCATCACAAAGAAAAATGAACACAAAGGAAAAGTTTAAATGTTAGAAGCAATGTAATAACACAACAATATGTTTTGTTTGTGAAGAATATTTGTAGACACAGACATAGACACACACATTGGAAGAAATAGTGCTGTTCTGTCATTAAAACATTTGTTTTACAGTGCTGTGTTTTTCACCTATGTGAAAAAGTAGATGCCCGTCCTAAACCTGGTTGTGCCACCCTTGACAGTAACAACTGCAGTCAAACATTTGCGATAAACCTTAATTTTGTTTCTTTTGAGCCATTCAGTGGTGGACTTGCTTGTCTGCTTTGAATCATTGTCTTGCTGCATACCCCAACTGCGCTTGAGCTTTAGGTCATGAACTGACGGGCAGAAATTTGTCAGGATTTTCTGACAGAGACCAGAATTCATGGTTCCATCGATTATGATGAGTTGTCCTGGTCCTGTAGAAGCAAAGCAACCTCATGCCATCACACTACCACCACCATGTTTGATTGTTGGTATGATGTTCTTATGGTGGATTGCGATGTTAGATTTACGCCAGATGTAACGGGATCCATGTCTTCCAAAAGGTTCCACCTTTGACTCATCAGTCCACAGAATATTATCCCTGGCGGTCATCTAGGTGGTTTTTGGCAAATGTGAGACGAGCCTTTGTGTTCCTTTTGATCAGCAGTAGTTTGGGCCTTCCAACTCTCCTATGGTTGCCATTTTTGCCCAGTGTCTTTCTTATTGTGGAATCGAGTACATTGAGCGTAACTGACGCAACTGAGGCCAGTAGTTCTTTAGTTGGTCATCTAGGTTCTTTTGTGACTTCCTGGATGAGTCGTTGATGCACTCTTGGTGACATTTCGGTAGGCTGGCCACTCCTGGGAACATTCAATGCAGTCTTAAGTTTTCTCCATTTGTGGATATGCCATTTGTGCTCTCACTGTGGTTCACTGGAGTCCTAGAGCTTTAGCAATGACTTTGTAACCCTTTCCAAACTGGTAGATTTCAGTGACTTTGTTTCATCTGTTTGTTTCGTCTTCTGTATTTAAATCTCTTTAGAATGTGGCAATATGTGATGCTTTTTGAGACATTTTGCCCTACTTCACATTGCCAGAAAGATTTTATCTAAATGATGTTTAGATTCAGCAGGTCTGGCAGTAGTTATGCCTGGGTGTGGCTAGCGAAATTGAACCCGAAAGTCAATTGAATTTGGTTAACTGGTTGCTTTAGTAGCTAAGAGGGCAGTTACTTTTTTACATAGGGCCAAGTAAGGCTAAACAGCATTTATCCTTGCATAACTGAAATAACTGTTTAGAAAACAGCATTTTGTGTTCACTTGGGTTATTTTTGTCTAATATTAAAAGCAGTTTGATGATCTAAAACAAATATAGAAGAAAACTGGAATGGTCACATACTTTTTCACAGCACTGTATGTATTTTAATTGAAGGTGTCATTTTTGTATAGCCCACAATGTAAGTGTTCTTGTGCAATGTTGACATCAGTAGCTTATGACCATAATTTTACCCATTTGTCTGGCAAACTGAACCATTACAGAACATTGTGATGCTTTGCCAGCTTAAACTCTGTAGCAATGTCAAACTATTTAGTCATGTAATAGCACATCTAAACATGATTTTCTCAATTACACACTGCACTATATGTCTAATTAAGTGTCTTGTTTTAGTTGTTTCTGTGGACCTCACAAATAAATCTTTGGTCCCTGGCACAAAGCGATACCAGCAAGTTCTACTGTGTTTGAAAGAAAGGGTGATGCTGAGAAGTGACTTCCTTTTGACAACATGCCACCCAGGTTTGTATCAGTAGTTGGAACAGCATGTGAAATGCCATGAAACAGTGATTAGCAAATTCTGTTTGACCTGTGTTAAATTGAAAACAGTACAAAAACACAATATTTGATGTTTTACCTTTTGAACTTTATTGTTTTTTTGTAAATTTATGCTCATTCCAAATATGATGCCTGCAACATGTTCCCAAAAAGTTGGAACCAGAGAATGTTTACATCATCTTTCTTTTTAACAGCACTTAATAATCGTTTGGGGACTAAAGACCAATTGATTCAGTTTTGAAAGCAGAATTGTTTGCCATCTTCAGTTATACAAGTCTTCAGCTGCGCAAAAGAGCTGGATTTTTTTTTTTTTGCTTAACCTCACTTGGGATCTTGTTCCTTTGGGCCATTTATGTCTTGTACATATTGTCTCTGGCACACTTGGGCCCCTCTTATAGATACTGACACAACTATACGTCCTTGACTCACAGAAAGATCTAATTTCTTAACATACCTTACCAGTTAGCTTCCTTCAACACTAAGCAAACAGACCTGACTCCCATTTTACAAGTCTTCAGTTGTGCAACTGTATGAGGCCTTTGTTGTCATACTTTGCACTTCATAATGCGCCACACGTTTTTAATAGGAAACAGGCAGGCAGCTCTAGCACCCGCACTCTGATTATGCAGCCATGCTGTTGTAATACATGCAGAATATTTATTGGCGTTGTCATGTTGAAATAAGCATGGACAGCCTTAAAAAAGATGGTGTTTAAAAGGCAGCATATGTTGTTCCAAAATGAGTATTTTAGTGTAAAAGTACTTTCAAAGAAATGCAAGTTAACCACTGACACATCCCCATACCATAACAGACCCTGGCTTTTTAACCTTAATGCTGGTAACAATGTAAATGATCCTTTGCTTCTTTGGCTTAGAGAACATCAGTTATTTCCATAAACAATCTGAAAGGTTGACTTGTCAGACCACACAAACAGGTATCAGTTTCGGAATGAGCATATATTTGCAAAAAAAAGTTGATAAGGTAAAACATTAAATATCCTATATGTACTGTTTTTGTTTAAATACCGGTCACAGTGGATTTACAAATTGCTGCTTTCTGTTTCTGTTTGCACTTCACACAGTGCCCCAATTGTTTTGGAATTGGGTTTGTATAAAAAGGTTTTTGTTGTATCTAATGTAAATTTAATGGTGTTCTGTGAACATAAAATTTATTGTATGATCTTGTGCCATTTTGCCCTGATGATGCCCTGGCCTAAATCTCTCAGGGGAGAGTTGCTCAGGGATTTGTATAACCTTTACTGTATGTTAATTCAGGTGCATTCTGGAGATGTGCTAATGTGTGCCATTCTCAGGAGCAGACAAAGATGGAGCTCTACATAATCTGCTGTCTCAGTACACGTATGAGGAATGTAGACCTACACTTCACAGCCAGACTCTGAAAAATCTATTCTGCCCATCACTTCATCACACAGACCTGCTGGGAAAGGGTCTTTCATGTACTCCAAACCAATTCCTGGAGTGGCTAGGAGCAGTGAACTTGAATATCAGTTGGTGAGTAAGCAGTGGAACTGAGTGTTCAATATGGTGTTAATGGCTTGTGGACTATAAAGGGCATTGCATTGCTTGTTTTGTTGCAGTGATAACTCAGCTGCCAGTTTCCTGTCTACATTTATGTGCCCAGAGCCTAGAGCCCCTGTGAGTCAAGCCCTGCTCTGCACAGTCACTGGGCTCATTCCTCCAAAAGATGTCTGTAGACTGCTGAAAGAACTCAGGTAGGCTCACATTATTTAACATTGTGTTTCTCTGTTCCACAATGTTTTTGGTTCTCAAAATTGAATAACGATTAAATAATGGCAGGCAAATCTCTCTCTGATCATACAGATGCTATTTTGCTGAGCCAAACTTTGCAGCATGGGTTTCACTTACTGTGCATGGCTTTGTGGATAGTCCTGTATCCTGGGGAGCTGCAGAGCATGGATTCTTCAAAGGTGGAGAAAACTTCTACAATTTTGTTTGCTTCAAGAACCAGGACTACTGGTTACACAAGGCTGCTGGTTCAGAAGATGCTTGCCCTCCATGATGTACTGGACCTTGATTGGAGAAAAAAAACTGGAAGTTTTATTTTTGCTTGACCGTATTTAGGATCATATTCCTTTTGGCTATTTGTGTCTTGTCTCCTGATGGCTGACTACATTATATGTATACAAATAGTTTTTTCTGTTTTTTTTTTTGTTAAGAAGCATAGGCTCCTTTTTATTGGATCTCTTAATGTTATTAATAATAAATAAGTGAAACCTTTGTCAACAAAAATGTACATGTGCATATTGTAAGGGTTCATAGAAATCCAGTCCAGTCAAAATGAACACTCCCAAATTTAGCATAATAGCTACAAATGAAAAGGGTTTGTTTATCTCAGCAATATTAATTTGCGTGCATACAGTGGTGCTCAGTGGTGTAACTACTGTGGGGGCAGAGGGGGCAATAGTTCTGGCACAGTTTCCCTAAAATTTTAGTTGGTTCCCTCTCATAGATACTGACACAGCTATACATCCATGACTCACAGAAAGATCTGATTTCTTAACAACAAACCTTACCAGTTAGCTTCCATGAACAGCAGACAGACCTGACAAGTTTTTTTCTCCCTCTTAATCATAATGCATCCGATCCATGGTAACCATGTTAAAACAAATTTTTACAACCTATTTATGCTTTAAACATAAAACAACATAAATACGTCTATTTTCTAACCGTCTAAGCGTTGGCCCTATCATCAGGAGATCGCGAGTTCGATCCCTGGTGATACTACAGCCGTCCGTGGCCGGGAGTCCAAGAGAGCACAATTAGCCTCGCTCTTTCTGGGTGGGTAGAATGCCACCCTGTTCCCTGGTCCTGAAGAAGGGTTAATCTGTAGGATGTTGTACTTTTTGCGAGTTTGCCATTTTTTATCTTTTAATTTTAAATGTGAACTTTGTTTTCAAAGTGTCTTCTCAACAAAACCCAGTTCTTTTTTTAAACCTTTCTCAAAAGGAACTAATGACCAAGAGGGTCACTAAGAAGGGACTGATCCTGTTTCGTTTTACTTGAATGGGGACAGTGATGTCTCATTAACATTAGAAATTACATTTGTGCTATGTCTTGTTCATAGTTGTCATTTATAAGATACACTATGTGAATTGTAAGCATAATGTAAAGAAACAGTAAATAGAAAGAAACACTGGTGAGCAAAAATATTTTCAATTCTCAGCCTAATAAAGGAAAATATTTTCCAAAGTGAAGAACACAGCTCAGGAGTTAAACTGAAAAAAAAATGCAATGTTGTCTTTATTACAGAGCAAATTGATAAGATTTCTTAATAAAACAAAATACCTGGCGTAGCAGTATAAACCATCCAATAAAAGAAAAAAATCTCATTGTCATCAGCTTCTTGTCTGAAACTTAGTTTGAAGACACAATCTTATGTACCTTAACTGACGTACAGTGGTCAGATACACATGTAACTAGACTTGTGATGCTCAGCACATGTACAGTTGGGTCCAGACGTCTGAGATCATGTTGAAAATATGGGAATTTTTTTAATTATGCCTGGAACAAAACAACAGATTTTTCTTTTAATTTTGAAACATTTAAAATAAAGAAAAGTTACAGCAAGGAAAATGAAGAAGAAATATTGAAGATCCTGTGCTATTTCTAGGTAACTATTCAAATTTAGGTAAATTTGTTACATTTGCCTTTGTACAAAAAACAAAAGTGTCCATCTTTTCCATTAAAGCATGTGTTTCAGACAACTCTCTGGTAGATTTGATCTGTCTGCTCATCACAGGCTGTTGCACAAACCTGTGGAGTCCACACTGAAGTGCACACTGCCATTAAAGCAAAATAGGGACATATTTTTTAATTCATTTAACTATTTAAAAGATTATACTTTTCACTAAACTGTTATGCTGATAATACAAACCCTGTTTCCGGAGAAGTTGTGACAGTTTGTAAAATGAAAGAGAATTTGTGATTTGTTAATTTAATGAACCTTTATTTAACTGACAAACGTACAAAGAAATGACAACGTTTTGGCTGACCAAATTTATTTTGTAAATATTAACGAATTTAGAATTTTAATGCCTGCAACACACTCAGAAAAGTTGGGACAGGGCCAAAATATTCAAATTACACCGTATTGAAACATTCCACAATAAGAAGGTGAATTGGTAACAGGTCAGGATTTAATGACTGGGTATTAAGAAAGCATCCATCAAAGGCTCAGCAAAGATGGGTCATGGCTCACCACTTTGTGCCAAACTTTGTGAGAGAATTGTCAAACAGTCAAACAGAAAGAGCGTTTCTCAACACAAGATTGCAAAGAATTTGTTCTGATTTATCCAGAAGAGCATTTGTGAGGTCAGACACTGATGTTGGACAAGAGGGCGTGGCTTTCAATCTCCGTTCTAGTTCATCTCAAAGGTGTTCGATGGGGTTGAGGTCAGGGCTCTGTGTGGGCCAGTCAAGTTCTTCCACACTAAACTCACCCAACCATGCCTTTATGGACCTTGCTTTGTGCACTGGGGCACAGCTGAAACTGAAAAGGGCCTTCCCCAAACTGTTCCCACAAAGTTATAAGCATACAATTGTCCAAAATGTCTTGACATGCTGAAGCATTAATATTTCCTTTTGTCTAAGCCCTGGAAAACAATCCCACAGCGTTATTTCTCGTCCACCAAACTTTACAGTTGGCACAATGCAGTCAGGCAGGGAATGTTCTCCGGGCATTTGCCAAACCCAGACTCACCCATCAGACTGCCAGATAGAGAAGTGTGATTTGTCACTCCACAGAATACATTTCCACTGCTCCAGAGTCCAGTGGCGGCGTCCTTCACACCACTCCATCCGATGCTTGGCATTGTACTTGGTGATGTAAGGCTTGCATGCAGCTGCTCTGCCATGGAAACCTATGTCATGAAGCTCCCAGTGCACGGTTTTTGTGCTGATGTTAATGCCACAGGAGGTTAGGAACTCTGCAGTTACTGAGTCAGCAGAGTGTGCACCTCAGCACTCGGTGACCCAGCTCTGTAACTTTACGTGGTCTGCCACTTTGTGGCTGAGTTGCTGTGGTTCCTAAATGCTTCCACTTTTCGATAATACCACTCACATTTGATCGTGGAATATCTAGGAGGGAAGAAATTTCATGAACTGACTTTCAACGGTGACATCCAATTACAGTACCACACTTGAATTCCGTGAGCTCTTTAAATGACCAATTCTTTCACAAATGTTTGTAAAGGCAGACTGCATGGCTAGGTGCTTGATTTTATACACCTGTGGCAATGGGACTGAATAAAACACCTGAATTCAGTGATTAAGAGATGTTTCCCAGTACTTTTGTCTGTAGTGTACCTCTGTCACAACTTATTTTGAGTGTATTGCAGAAAATGTAGATTCTAAATTTGTTTATACTTACAAAATCCAGTTAAGTAGGTCAGTAAAAAACATTGGAAATCTCTCTTTGTCTTTTTGTCAGTTAGATGGGTTTATTTACAATAGAAAATTTTGTATTAGAAAAGAATGCAAAACAGAAGCATTTTCACTAGTGGTCTTAGACTTGGACCCTACTGTATGCTTAATTCGGTCTTGGCTTATTTCACTTAGGCTCTTCCTTTTAAGGTAAGATTAAGATTAAGTTACCCTTATTCGTCTCACAATGGGGAAATTTCACCTCCACATTTAACTCATCCGTCAGTGAAACACCACATACACACTAGTGAACACACACACTAGGGGCAGTTAGCACACTTGCCTGTAGCAGTGGACAGCCCTATCCACAGTGCCTGGGGAGTAGTTGGGGGTTAGGTGCCTTGCTCAAGGGCATCTCAGTCATGTACTGGCAGCTCAGGGGATTGAGCCGGAAACCTTCCGGTCACAGGCCGGGTTCCCTAACATCCAGCCCATGACTGCCCATAGTGGGCATGGGCATGTATTTACAACCTTGTCCAAAACCTTGCCCCTTGAGTGACCCATGTGACTGAAAAGGTACAGCATCTGTTTTTTTTTTATTTAAGCTGTTTCTATTGGAAAATTGCTGATCTACACAATTTGGTAGGTTTGAATTGATTTTAGTGGATTATTTATACAGCATTGACTTTTTTCACCTGTCCTCTAACTTACCCTATCTGTGATTTTTGCAGTTGTACAATTAAAGTATGAGGTCTATCTGATTATCTGCATAATTTATTAGCCTTCCTTTACCCTGTTTATTAATGGTCAGGTCCCCCACAAGACCACCATTGGGCAGGGGGGTTGATTATTCTTAGCACTGCGGTGACATGAATAGTCAACCAAATATAACCAACCACTGATACTAACTAGTAACTACTAGTGATGAAGGACTAGAGGAAGGCTAACACAAATTGTGCAGCAATGAGAGATCGGCCACTGTCATGGACCAACAAGGTTATAGTGGCATGCCAGTGTATATGCTGTACAGAGTGGATCAGTGTTGCTGGAATTTTTAAACAACTCAGTGTCACTGCTGAACTGAGAATAGTCAAACAAATATATCCAGCCAACAGCCTCCTGTGGCTTGAAACTGACCACCATAGAAGGACTACCCTGCTGAAGGACCATTAGAAACCATTAGAGACTATAAGAATTAAAATCTAATGATTTTGCTTACTAATGGCAATAGGCTTGGTGATATTTTCCCAAAGAGACCACTAGTTTCTTGTAGAATACCTTTAGATTCCATTAGGAAACCATCAAATGCATTTAGAATCAGCTATTAGTCACATGTTAAACCATGAGGATCCTTTGCATTGTGATATCAACCCATTTAAAAAGGCCAGTACACAACCATTAGGAGCCAACAGAAACGATTCATGGTTTCTATGGGTTTTTCAACAGGAATGAAGGAAGACTAACAAACTGTGCAGCATTAGGACCACCTCCTTGTTTCAACGCTCATTGTCCATTTTATCAGCTCCACTTACTATATAGGTGCACTTTGTAGTTCTACAATTACAGACTGTAGTCCATCTGTTTCTCTGCATACTTTGTTAGACCCTTTTTACCCTGTTCTTCAGTGGTCAGGACCCCCATGGACCCTAACAGAGCAGGTACTATTTGGGTGGTGAATCATTCTCAGCACTGCTGTAACACTGATATGGTGGTGGTGTTTTAGTGTGTGTTGTGCTGGTACGAGTGGTTCCAGTGCTGCTGGAATTTTTAAACACTGTGTCCACTCTATTAGACACTCCTACATTGTCAGTCCACCTTGTAGATGTAAAGTCAGAGACGATAGCTCATCTGCTGCTGCCCAGTTTGTGTTTGTCATCCTCTAGTCCTTCATCAGTGGTCACAGGACGCTGCCCACAGGCCGATGTTGGCTGGATATTTTTGGTTGGTGGACTATTCTCAGTCCAGCAGCACTGCTGTGTCTGATCCACTTAGACCAGCGCAACACACTCTAACACACCGCCACCACATCAGTGTTACTGCAGTGCTGAGAATGATCCACCACCGAAATAGTACCTGCTCTGTGAGGGCCCATGGGGGTCCTGACCACTGAAGAACAGGGTAAAAGGGGGCTAACAAAGTACGCAGAGAAACAGATGGACTACAGTCTGTAATTGTAGAACTACAAAGTGCACCTATATAGTAAGTGGAGCTGATAAAATGGACAATGAGCATTGAAACAAGGAGATTGTCATAATGTTATGCCTGATCGGTGTATACAGTACTACAAAGTGCCCCTATATCATCTATATGGTAAGTGGGCCTGATAAAATAGACAGAGAGTGTAAATACAAGGCCCCTAATGAAGCCTAATACGCAATAAAGTGGGAAGTGTAACTTTATATTAATACTCAGGCTGTACAACTATTTTTTTTATTTCATTGTTACAACGAATAAGTTTAGAGCCTACTTCATTTATTATCCTTCTGTTTCTTTCTACACATTTGTACTGTCTAACATGATCATTTTTCAGTAGGATTTTGACCAAAGTTTGAGTGCGTTAGATTGCAAAAGCAAAAATGTTTTTTATGAATTGTACATCGGCGAATGTTTTGGCACGAATCACCCGCTATACAAAGGCACGTCATGATCACGTGATTGGTCCACTTTGCTAGTCTTCGGATCATTGTGTCGGTACAGCGTTGCTTCAGAAGTTTCGAAACACCATTTTGAGTTTGTCATCATTACCCTGGATCAAAACTGTTCGTACTGGTAAAGAGCGAAAAGAAGATGCTTCCCGTGGATTAGGCCAATCTCAGACGCGTCAAAAAGCAAGAGAAGAACTAGGCTAGCTAAGTAGCTAGACAGCAGCAGAGCTGGAGAAAGACTACCAATCGGATTACTCCAGTATCGAATATTACTAGGCCATGATGGCCTCAGAGGAGCTCTATGAGGTGATTCCTTGTGTTACAATAGTTTGCATTTCTGTGTCAATTCCCGCCTGGTTGAGCTTTAGTGCTATCTCTGCACTTCTGTCTGTCTATCTAGCCATCAGGGCTGTAGGTTGGCGTAGTGGGTTGAACAGCAGCTGGCTAATACGACAAGGCAGTAGATACCGCGGTACTGGTTGGTTGCAGTCGTAGCTAGCAAGTTGCTGTATGGTGGCTACACGTTGCTGTGTAAGCACCTTTATTTGCACATTACGATGTAGTTGTAGTTTCGTGATACTAATTCACAGCGTTTTATTATCCATTTAGTCCGGGCAAACACAAATTTCATATGTGAAAGTGTTGGAATAAGAGCACTTCACGTAAAAGTTTATCCCCAAAATTTCGCATTTTCTCACTTCGTTGCTTTGTATAAGGCCGTCGATGGTTATGACCTCCAGAGAAGTACGTAGAGCAGCAATCCCAGACTTTTTATGCATAAAAATCCTTTGTTATTCAGCTCGTGGTAGAGGTCCCCAGAGGTAGGGTGTTTGCGTAAGTGCTAACCGGCAGGTCAATCATTGTGGCTAGCCAGAGAGCGGCGGCTTATGCCGAGGAAGAGCTTTGTCTAACCAGTGTTAAAATTCAGAAATACGACTGCTGTTTTCACGTAGTTAAATGGCAGAACCTCTGTTGGATTTTGGAAGAAAAACTGCAGTTCTAATAGTCCCACGTTTTATATATTTAAAGAGGATTTTCATGTCAAAAAGGTTTAAATTCTGATATAGTCCTTCAATGCTAAGGCTGAATTGGAGACTACACTTTTGCAACCCCATTTCCAAAAAAGTAGGGACGCTGTGCAGAATTTAAATAAAAATAGTTTTATTTTTTAAATATTTTCAAAGGAATATACTACAAAGGCAACATATCAAATGTTGAAACTGAGAATTTTTTAATTGTTTTTTGAAAAATACATGCCCATTTTGAATTTAATGCCAAAAAACACGTTCCAAAAAAGTTGGGACGGGAGCATGTTTACCAATGTGTTTGATCACCTCTTCTTTCAACAACACTCTGTAAGCGTTTGGGAACAGAGGAGACCAACTGCTGCAGTTTTGAAAGTGAAATGTTTTCCCATTCTTGCTTGATATAGGATTTCAGCTGCTCAACAGTTCAGGGTCTTCTTTGTCGTATTTTTCATTTCATAATGTGTTAAATGTTATCAGTGGGTGACAGGTCTGGACTGCAGGCAGGCCAGTTTAGCACCTGGACTTTTTATACAGAGCAATGCTGTTGTATTACATGCAGAATGTAGTTTGGCATTGTCTTGCTGAAATAAGCAGGGTCTTCCCTGAAAAAGACATCATCTGGAAGGCAGCATATGTTGCCAAAACATGTATATATCGTTCATCATTAATGGTGCCTTCACAGATGTGCACGTCGCCCATGCCATGTGCACTAATGCACCCCTATGCCATCATGAATACTGGCTTTTGAACTGTGCACTGATAACAAGTCTGATGGTCTTTAGTGCGTAGGACGCAGTGTCCGTGATTTCCAAAAAGAATTTCAAATGTTGATTTTTTCAGAAGTGTTTCTGAGCCCATGCAGTGATTTCCACTACAGAATCATGTCTGTTTTTAATGCAGTGCCGCCTGAGAGCCTAAAGATCATGGCCAGCAAATACTAGTTTTTGGCCTTGTCCCTTGCATACAGAGATGACTCCAGATTCTCTGAATCTTTTAATGTTATTATGTACTGTAGATGATAGCAAAGAACTTTTCCTTTTTATTATGTTGAGAAGCATTATTCTTGAATTGTTCCACTATTTGCTCGTGCAGCCTTTCACAGAGTGGCGAACACCTCCTCATCCTTATTTCTGAAAATCTCAGCCTTTCTGAGATGCTCATTTTATACCCAATCATGTTACTGACGTGTTGCCAATCAACCACCAGGTGTTTTTAGCATTACACAACTTTACCAGCCTTTTGTTGCCCCCGTCCCAACCTTTTTGGGAACGTGTTGTTGGCATCAAATTCAAAATGGGCACATACTTTTCAAAAAAACAATAAAAATAAAATGTTTGATATGTTGTCTATGTACTATTTTCAATTAAATATAGGGTTTGAATGATTTGCACATCATTGCATTTTGTTTTTATTTACATTTTGCACAGCATCCTTACTTTTTTGGAAATGGGGTTGTACTTTCAATAAAATTAAAGTATTTCACTATTTAACATTTGCATGTAATATGCTTTGGAATTTTACAGCTAGCTTCCGTGCTAGGCCTAAGAAATGTAATGACTTCAAACTTAAATGTGTGAGAACTTTTTCTATGTAATAATGAGGACCTGCTGGCTCCTTCGTTGGCTGTCCAGGATCCATCTCAAAGTGTACAGTGTGCAGCTGACATGATTAAGTTGCTATAATGAACATAAAGGAATACAATATAGAATTAAGTTTGCTAAAAATTCTCGGTGATGCCAGCATGATATACAGTATCGATATCAAGCTGATGTCAGCAGGAAATACTGGATTAGAAAAGAATGAATCCAGTCTGATTCTGTAGTTAGAAATATCACAGAATTGCTTGTAGTGCAGCATAACCCAAAGACATGTGAAGTAGCTAATGTGATAACCACGTATGTGTTTTCACATGTGGTCTAATGTTAGCATAAGAACAAGTAGCTAGTATAAGTGTTATACTTTAATTGCAGTTCTTTTATTTGAAATAGACTGATTTTACACACGTTTGCATGGAAATTTGTTTTTTGTAAAAGCTTAGCTGAATAAAAATGCTTATATACGTTGGGTTTTATGTAAGTCATTATTAGTTAGTCTGGTTGAGTCTAATTGGCTGTTTGCAGAGTAAGATATAAATGTTTATGGACTGCTCATCCGTCGTTTCTTTTGAAATCAAGGATACTGCAGTAACGGCTTATACTCATCTGGGAAGCCTTTAAACTAAATATTGGAAGATATTGGTATAATGAAAAGCAGTTTGGGAGCCAAAAGAGTTGGTACTTCTGGATGAGCCGAGCCAGATGATCTTGGTTGACCAAAAAGAGCCGTAATTCCCATCACTATCACACACGCTGACATGCAAGCAAGCCCAGATGGAGTAGTTTCATTTTAGGCTGCGGTTTATTTTATTTCTCCATCTAATAACTAAACTATTCATTCAGGTAGCTATTTGTTGTGAAAGAAATACAGTTACAATTTCAAACAATTTCATGCATTTTCAAGCACTTTATCCGAAATTCCAGCACTTTTCAAACTCTGAAAATACAACATTAAAATTCAAGCATTTTCAAGGATTTCAAGCACCTGTACGAACCCTGTTTTTGACTGTTAGTTATTCAGCAGAAGAACAAAGTTGTCAAAGCTGTACTTAAAATTTCAGGACTTTCCTTAAACTGCTTCTCATTTCATGGAATGTCCATTACTGTCCTGCAAATGTGACAAAACATCAGAGGTTTGAATTGGAGTAAAGGATTTGGCACAGAATAACTGGCCTTGGAAAAATATCTAAAATTTTGGTTACCAGCTGATTCAACATCTATCATTTTGTCGGTCTGTGAGCACAAACCAATGTGAGAGAGATATCATTCTAGGAATTTATATTTATTGTGATCCTTTCAAGGAAAACCATTACTTTCTTTCAAACCTTCAAAGTATGTAGATATTATTACCATTTTCCTATAATATACATAAGTGTTTCGTTCAATAAGTAGTTGCATAGTTATATAATCAGATACATTTACTTTCAAGTTATATTCTGAATCAGAAGGTTTGAGGCTGAGACATTTTGTTTTAATGTAAAAAAATGAGAAGACATGGCAAAAAAGATGATTTTTTTCACAAAACACGACTGCACACAAAGCAGTAATAACATAACAAAAAATACATTACCAATTTACTGTTGCGCATTTGTACTTTTGACTTTTTTGGTATAATGAAACTGGATTTTCTGTGGACAACTGCATAAGTATTGGCCCATTTTTTGATCAAATATTAAATCAGATTTGATGTATTACTTCACTTAGCAATAACTAGTTTAAAGTAAGCCTATTTATTGCACAAGGAACTGTTCTCATGCAGTGTTAACTTACTTTTATACCGCCAGGACTTGGAGCTCTGTGATTGTGTTATTATTGTATGTGCTGTCTCTTTTCACTCTCTGCGTCAAGAAGCCATTCAGAATCAAATGTTGTGATATTCTTTTTCTTTTCTTCTTCTTTTTTCCAGTAATGCTTATAATGCATTTTTTTCCAGAGTATTAAAAGTAGGCACATAGATTCTCTGTACTGTTTTGATAGAAGCAATCGAGGCTGAGTGTGTTCTTATTGGTCATCTTCCAGTGGTGTAAAAAGTTACCTAGGCCTATTTGCAGGCCTTTTGAGACAGCCCCCCCTTAATTCAAGACACAATCACAACGCACGTCCAGCAAGACCTGAAATAATACTGCAACATCCTTATAGAGCCAGTGATCTATGTCTCTCAGACTAAGACAGGTTAATAGTACTTTGCAGTAATCCAGGTGTCATGATATAAAAGCATAAACAACTTTTTCAGTATCTCCACAAAACAGGCATGTATATAAATAAGGCATTTATACAAAAAAGAGAATCATTAACTTTTGTCCAGTTCGTGATAACTGCCAGTCACTCAGATTGCCTCACTGGCTGAAATCATTGAATTTAACGACAGCTACAACTGTGTGTCATCAGCATAAAAGTGAGAAGAATTATTAAAACATTGTATTTAGGCAGTTTAAAGGAAGAATGTAGAGAAAGAATAATATTGGCCCCAAGATGAAACCCTGAGGCATCCCACAGTTAAAAGCAGCAGTAGAGGACATCATGTTGCAGATAAGGGATGAGAGGTCCCTATAACTTTTTAAGATGTTAGGTGTTATGTCAAAGGGGCTAAATGGTAAAAAATAAGTGCTGTGCAATTTTTACTGCTTGAGTAGTAAACTCCTTTGGAGTCCTTTGTATTACAGCTTGGATAGGATATGTCTGAAAAAGTGCAAGGAGATGCCTGATATTGTTGATCTTGCTCACCAAAAAAATAAATAAAATTCAGGATTGGCAGCAGTGCTGCTACATGTCTTGCAGGAAGCAAAGTGATACTACACAGAAAATGTCACAGAAATGCACAGATACACATCAAACTCCAGGTCCTGTTAAACTCTGTCACACAGATTTAATAAAACTAGTAAAATGTCAGTTTTCAGGATTCATTTGGTAAAAGCTCTTCAAAAACTTGCTGTTTTCGAACAAAAAGATAGGTGGAAAACAATGTGACAAGGCTAGTAATGTTAGCTGAGGCAGCAGGTAGTTGGCATTTGTCTGTTTATCTTAAAGGCTATAGCTGGACTGCTTTTTTTTAAATGTAACGTTTGTGGTCTATTTCTGGGTTGAATTTAGTGCTGCAGTTGCAAAGTGCTGAGTGGTGTGCTGTGGCTGGTAGAGAAATAGAGCACTGCTTTGTTTCATACAGTACTGTAACATTGCTTTGTTTCATGTTACCCCAAGTTAGCTATAACATAGTGATAGTCGTTAAGACTGGAAACTTGTTTGGCACTGGGGTGATGGTGGTGGTGGGTAATTTGAAGTAGGTGAGGACAGCAGCCTGTGCCAGGGAGATATTGAAGATTTCTTCATGGGTGCACTTCTGGAGTATGCAATCAAGGATGATGTCAGAGCCAACAGCATTGCATGAGTAGCAGGGTCCTCCTCATATCTGAAGGAAACATTCAAAATGTAGTGCCAGAGCATTAGAGTACTGCTAGTATAAGAGACCACACAACCATATATGTCATGTAAATGTTGATTATAACAGTATAATGTATGACAATAGGAGACAGAATGAACAAAATCAAAAAACAAAGACTGAAGTGTGTGGTGTGCAGTAAAATATGCAGTACAGTTAAGACAAATAGTTTGAACACAACAGGCCTGATGGCGCAAAAAGTATTATGCATAGCCAACAGTGCAAAATCAGCACTTGTCTGAGAAATAAACAAACTGAAGATAAAGTAAATAAGTTCTGTGTGGCTAGTAAGGTCAAATAGTTTTGCTACAGATTTGTGTGATTTGTGTCATTGATTTCTGAGTTACGCTAGAGCTTAACATATAAAGTACTGTATGTGAAAATAATAATGTAATTATGGCAAGCATTTGTTGTATGAGCAATCAGCAGAATACAAAGATCAGCTGTCTCCAGTGAACTGGAAATTAACCTAAAGAGTCCTTTGCATTAGTTACATTAGTCCTTTGTTAGTTACCTAAGGGAACCAACATATGAACTGCCTTGAAAAAATGTATTCAGTCCTAGATTATATTTTTCACATAAAAGATTGCCACAGCGTATTTTGAGATGAGGCTGAGATTTTTTTTATTTGTGAATCAGAACCTTTTTTTTGTTTGTTTCCAAAAATGAAAAAAGAACAATAAAAAGTATTGATTTAATTAGGTAAGTAAGTAAAGTAAGTTTTGCCCATTCCCCCTTTGCAAAACTGCTCACGTTCTGCCTATTTAGTTGGGATACAACTTTACAGATTTCTGATGCTTGTACTCAGAACTCTGAATGGGCCACTCCAGGACATAAATTTTCTTCATTTTTAAGCCACTCCAATGTTGCCTTAGAAGTGTGCTTTGGGTCATTGTCCTGCTGAAAGTTTAGTTATCTCCTTTATTTACATGAGGTGGGCATGGGGGACTATTTTAACATTGCTAACAGGACTGTTTACACATAAATGTACGGTTACTCTTACACTATATTGAAGAACATAGGTGTCAGAATGCGCTACGGTGGTCACTGCTTTGTCCAGCAACACAGGAGGAAATCTCTGTTTCAAAAAATACCTGTGTATTTGTGGACTAGGCTCTAGGAAGTGTTTAGAGAGGTGGCCTGACCTAGGCAGTATTGCAGAGATTGTTTTTTCCTTATTTAAATATTGAACTGAACTGAGTATATTCAGTCCATTTGAGATCTGTTGCCCTTCCCCAGAACTATGCTTATCTGTGACTAGAATCCTGACTGGTATTGAATGCTCTTTTGTTGCTTTGTTCTTTGTTCTGGACTGGAAATGAAACGGTGGCTCTGTGATAGGGCAGAGTGATGTATTAAATATTTGTAATATATTGTTATGTTTTTTATTTTTATTTTTTTGGAAATACAAATTAGGCTACATTATGAATAATTTGTGATCTTATGTGCATTTTATGCATATTTCATGCATGCATGCGAGTTTCTTGAAGACAGTGGCACTCAGGTAACCTTTTCTTGTCTCAAGTATGTGGATGTTAAGCTTTATGAGCAAAATGAAAGTGATCATATGAGAAGTAAAGAGGCTGTGTGGGAAACCCATGCCGTGTAGCTCCTGGTGCAGTTTTTGTGCTGTTGTTAATTCCAGAAATTCCAGAGGAGGTTTGGAAAAGTGGTATTACTTTTCAATAATACCACTTACAGTTGATTGTGAAGTATCTAGTAAGGAAGAAATTTCACAAACTGACTTGTTGCAATAGTGGCATCCTATCACACTACCACACTCGAATTCAGTGAGCTCTTTAGAAGGACCCAATCTTTCACAAATGTTTGTAAAGACTGCATGGCTAGGTGCTTGATATTGGCTAGGTGCTTGATATTATACACCTGTGGCAATGGGACTGAAATCATCTGAATTCCTTGATTAAGAGGTGTGTCCCAGTATCTTTGTCTATATAGTGTATGAGCTTGTTGGACATCCCATTTAAACCGTGGGCATTAATATAGAGTTGGCCCCCCTTTGCAACTCTAACAGCCTTCACTTCTCTGGGAAGATGTTACAAAAGATTTTTTTTGTGTCTGGGAATTTGTGTCCATTCAGTCAAAACAGCATTTGCAAGGTCTGACACTGATATTGGACAAGAAGGCCTGATTCGCAATCAATGTTCCAGTTCTTCCCAAGGAGTTCAGTGCAGTCAAATGCAGGCCAGTGGAGTTCCTCCACACCAAATTCATCAGACCATGTCCTTGCTGTGTGCACAGGGGCATAGTCATGCTGGAACAGTAAAAGGCCTTCCCCAAAGTGTGGCCACAAATTTGCAAGCATATGACTGTCTAAAGTGTCTTTGTATTCTGTAACATTACCGTTTGCTGGAACCAAGGGGCTTAGCCCAAACCCTAAAGAACAGCTCCAGCCCAGGACCATTATCCCTCTTCTACAAAACTCTATTGTTGGTTTTATGTATTCCAGTAGATAGCGTTCTCCTGGCATCAGCCAAACGCAGATTTGTTCATCAGACTGCCAGTTTCCACTGTTCCAGTTTCCAGTGGCGATGATATAATGATCTTCGGCTTGTGTGCAGCTGCTTGGCCATGCAAACCAGTTTCATGAAGTTCCCGGTGCACATTTTTTGTGCTGATGTTGCTTCCATAGGAACTATATACTAAGCAATGCAACAGAGATTAGGTTAATTTTTTTTTTTATATGCTACTCACTTCAGGACTGTGCAGTACTGCTCTGTGAGCTTGCATGGTCTACTGCTGAATGTGAAAATTTTGCAGTCATCTGGATTTCTGCATGACTTGCAAAATGTGATGTACATCTGTCATAGTAGTAAATAAACATCACTGAAATGCTGTGGTGTTACATGAATTGGGTCATCAAGGTTCAAAAATATACATGAAATACTTTGGGTTAGAGAAATTGACAAATACCTTCTAATAATTTTGATTGTGTAAAACATCTGTTTAATTAGGTTATTTAAAATTTGTGTCCTGTTTGAATGAATGTTAGGAGCCATTCATGCAGATATCTAGATAATTTGCAAACTGTTTTTACAACGGTTCTTCTGCTTTGGTTAAACCATATAAGAATGACAGCCATTTTTGTAGATCATGTTTTATGTATCTCTTGTTACCTGTTTTGTTTTCTGATTAGAAATGATTAGGATAGGTAAACTAAACTGTATATTATCTTTTTTCCTTCTCTTTAGGTTGAGAGAATTGTTGGTAAACGTAAAAACAAGAAAGGGAAAATGGAATATTTGGTCCGCTGGAGAGGCTATGGCTTTGAAGGAGACACTTGGGAACCAGAGGCTAATCTGGCCAGCTGCATTGAATTCATCAGTGAATTTAACCGCCAGCACAGTGATAGGCAGAGAGACGGAACAAGCCTACGCTCTACACGCAGGTCTCCCAGTATGGGTCTGAGCAGCAACAATGCACGCAAACAGATGAACAGGCCTCAACCACATAACAGCGGTGTGAACCCTGCTATGGGAAGGATTTCTCCATCCTCCCTAAGCATGCCTTCTACCAGTGTTACAAAACAACTGCCCCCACCGCACACTTTGTTAGATAATAAGGACTCCAATTACGATGCAGACACAGAGCAACAACCTTTTTTGACTAACCAGAAATTCCAATGCTCTGCAGGTGTCAGTCTCAGCAGCACTACTGAGTCAGCAAGCACAGCAAGCACCACCCCAACCTTAGGTCATACTGTAAGCACTTTACGCTGTAGTATGGACTTGGCTAAGTCTGGAATTAAAATCCTAGTGCCAAAAAGCCCAATGAACAGTCGGGCTGACTCTGAGGAGTCTCCTAGTGAGGCAGCACATAGTCTGGACCAAGGCGGGCAGGAGCCAGATATTGTGCCCCCTGAAGTGGCACTGCAAGAGAAGTCTGTAGGACTTGTTTTAGGGCCAGGACAGGAGCGGGCACGCATGGGCACACGGCCCAGGACACAGACAGCTCTCCCTCCACCTCAAGTCCCAATTACACCTGCTGCTGTTCGTACACTGAATGGGAAAAGTATGGCAATACGTTTTATACTAGAATGGTGATAAATGATATGTCCTTAGTAAGAGAACAAAATTGATCCTCCTTAATTTGGCTTCAGTGCTCCACAGTATTTGAAAATTTAAATGTAAAAAACTGTCTGTGTGTGTGTACACCCACACGCTTCATTGTCTTCATTATATGCAGTCATCTAATTTTGATGCTTGCAACACTTTCCAAAAAAATGCCGGTGCATTGTGCCCATTCAGACCTTTAAAATATTAGAAAAATAAAATATTGCCATACCCTACACATCATGTATCGTAAAAATGACATAATGTTGTATTTTTACTATATGTGACTGATTTAAACTGATATTATTGATACTTTGGCATCACAATTTTCATACAATACTGTGCAAAACTCAGATACCACCCTTTATTATTTAATTTCCCATCAAAACAGCCATTAAGTTATTTAAGTACAACAATAAAAAGCAGAAAACATATTTAACAGAACATTATACAGAATGGGGACATGTCTGCAGGTGGGCTGGCCTCTGCCCATTAAATGAAAACTCTGAAACAAAATTCAGTGTTATCCCTATTCTTTGAGTGTTCATAGTTTTTTTGTCATAGATAATTTTGTTATTACTCATCTAAAATGCACTGCTTTCCTACTGGCTGAAGGTGTGGATGTGCTTAGTTAGTGCTCCTTCTTTACGTTATTGTCAAACTAGGCATTTCTTCACATATATGGTGCAGACATGGTGCAGTGAACTGCTAAACCAGTTTGTAGCTAACTAGCTGCTCTCAGCAATCCAAGTAAAACTGTTAATACCTTTTAAAAGGTTAATTCTTTTCTCTGGTTCTTATAATTATATTTGTAGTCTTATATAGTTCCACAGCTAAGTTTGCACGTTTTGCAAGCAACGTATTTCTTTTAAGTTGCCAGCTCATTTGGTGGCCACTAGTTTAGTGAATACCCAGCTCCAGGCTAGCTATAGCTGATTTGTTGCTTTTCACTGAAGTTGGCTTGTGGAGTAGGTAAAAAATAATTTTACAGAAAGCAACACAATTAGTTTTGGTTAGTTAGCTAGGTAAATCTTCCAGCATGGACAGGTGGCTCATTAAAAACAGCTGGTAATCTACCAACACTGAGCAAAGCATTACTGCCTCGGTGTCGCGGGCAGCAAACCTCCGTCCTCCACAAAATCCAGACACATCAGCTCTGCTGTGTTCGCTCCTGACCTAAATATAGCCCGTCCCAGCCAATTATAAGTAGTTATCCCAGATGCCCATTTCGACAAACTGCAAAGCTTGCTTGTAGGTTAGCACCAGTCCTGACGTATGGCTAGAATATAGAGTATATGTCTCATGTGATGCTTGCTTTTGCTTTGCCTGTTACAAATTTGGTGTTTCCAGTTCCAAATGAGAGGACATATGCATGAAACGTGGATACATTATTTGGAAGAGAGCACTTGAATGAGACTGTGGTTTCCTTAAACATGCCTCCTGTATTCCTCGTGTTAAAGCAATGTCTGCATGGCAGGAATATCAGCATCGTGCAGAGACAGGTGAAAGTATCATGCAACTACTGGGTCAAACCCAGATAGAAAAGAACATGTACCATGATAGGTAGGGGTGGGAATCTCTAGGCACAATTCAATTTGACTACGATTCAGAGGGCTGTGAGGCGATGAAAAAATGATTTCATCTTGATGCATCTTTTTTTCTATACGTGATTTCTTTTTTTTCTCACTGTGTGAGGACTTGGTAGTTTTAAAGCAAAGTATTTGTAATGATCCATAATGAAGTTGGGTGGAAGCTTTGACATCACTTGCTCGATGGTCCTCTGGTTGGCAGCAACTACAACTGGGCAGAAAACGGGTGGAAATGTGTATTATGGTTTCTCATGTTTGTCGTTTCAATATTTAAGTGTGACACAACCTGCATGTAATGTGGTTCCCGTTCAGGTCCTTTTTCCCTTCAACTTCATAGAAGCCAAAGTGCTTCATATCTTAGCTCAGGGGTCGGCATCACACGGCCCTTTTACAGCCCTATTGCCGCTCCACAGCAGAATTAGATTTTAGGTAAAAATAAAATAATCTTTCTTTGGAGTGAAATAAAGCTCTGCTGATCGTTCTAACACTGTTTTAACAATAAATGGTCTTAAATGCTGCTAATTCACCACCCTATAACCCTGAAGGTTGATATGCAGACTGCAGGTCACATAGCAATTCAGACAATCTCACCTATCTAGTAACTATCAAAAAGGCAAAGAGAAAGATTTAGGACAAACATTTGGAGACAGATGGACTGTAGCTGGTTTTCTGGTACTTTTAATCTGCAACAAGAAACTGTCAAACACTGAAGTTGTGAAGCTGAAGTCAGCTTCACTTTCGAATTTTTCTGTTCCACCTTAAATGGTGCAGCAGTTACATTCTGGCACCTCAGGCACCATTTAAGCTGGAACGGGAAAATTCAAACAAGAAGCTGGTGAATGAGAAACTGACTTCAGCCTCGTAAGAAGTGGAATGTTGAGAGACATTTTACAAGAAACTATTCTACTGTTAAAGAGAAGTGTCCTGCCAGAGACAGGAGGAAAGCAGCTATAGCTGAGCAAAAGCTTTAAACAGAGGAAAGTCTGTGTTTACGTTTATACTAGGTCATTAGCACATACTAGGATGTATTGGTCATAAAATGTTGTGTCTCCCAAGGTGGTTTGATTTTTGTTGAAAGGACAAAATGGCTCTTAACATTTGGGTTGCTGACCCCGACCTAGCTTTAAATGCAGAGAGTGACGATCGGATTTCTTGCTCATCCATTTGTGTCTTTGTTATGTGCATGTCACAGACTGTCCAGGCGCTGCGCTTCCGCACTTCCAAGTTCCGTCTTTTGCATTCCGTCAACATTATGTTATCAATTAAAATTTAGAAAATCGATTTTTGACATTTGTGAATTGATTTAGAATTGTCCACGTCCGCATCATGATGCATCTAAGAATCGATACACCCCTAATGTTAGGTTAGGTCATTCAATTTGTCATAGTAAATGAGCGAGCTCTTCGTGGGCACCATCAGGGGAACAGAGATGAGGCCATCAGAAGAATGTGGATTAGGCTGTTTGTTCAAAAAGATCCCAAACTTACAGAAATTGCAAAATGCATCACTGAAAACACCAAATACACTTCACAAATGTCATTGAAAATAATATAATTAATCCATTTCTATTTGCTGGAAACTGATATCCTAGCTTCCCATATAAAAAAATGTGCCTTGAGCTATATTTTTTTTGTTCTAGCTCCCCCATTAACATCATAGCTTATGTTATATGTGGTAATCCAATCATGTATTTAACATCATCTTAAAGCTAAATGCAGCATTCAGCAAGCAGCCTGTGTGATTTAATTGCCCTCAGTGGGCAACCAGAGCATTTCTTTATACTGTCTCAGTTCTAGCTTAATCGCGTTCGTCTTCTTTGACCTTTATTGATGTTTAACTTCTCAATTGCAATCTAGAAATTTTACATTACACACAGAAGCAACGCTAACACTAAAGCCTTATTTGTATCTGCTAATCATATTGGGCCTAGACATCGTTTTATCTATCTATCGTAGCTCATCATACAGATGTTTAACATACAGGCACTGCTGCCTGACCCTGTGCATTCTATTCTGTTGTAGCCTACTGATGATCCACAGTAAAATTTGCTCATAAGTTGTCCCCTCTAGTTCATACAGTGCTCATCATAAGAAAAGGTTTACAGAGTTCTGTTCCCCCCCCACTGAGTAATGCCCTGGACCCCCCTACCAAAATCAGATATTCTAATTGTATTCCTTTTGCCTACCCCCGATTAAACTTGTCGTTGTTCTACATACACTGTTTAGGAAAAGCAACATTGTTCTTGTTGCCCACCCAAAGATGGCATCCTAGTAACACCTCTAATACAGAAGTATGGTATTGTCCAGCGTCCTATTTTCTCTATTGATCATTCTGCACACACACATAGCGTGGCCATTTGTGCTCTTTTTGCCATGAAAGGCTATAGCGTCACTGGGTATAGAACTCACAAGCTCCTGGTAAGTGGGCCAATGCTTACACAGGTGCACTACTCGGGAGCCCTTTTAATCATTTTTTTGGAAATTCTTTTTTTTTTAACTGGAAAAAGACAAAGCTTTCAAATACAAAATTGACAACTGAATACAGACTCAACAAACAAATACTTGAGTATTCAGATTATTCAGGTCAGCCTTACAAAATATGAAGGTGGACAAATGAAATACTGATAGATTTTGTTATGCTCAGTGTTGTGTTGGAGGCTTTTGTGTAATTTTCTGTTATATACTTCCTGCTTTTTTCTGACATTGAAAAATTAATAACTTACTTAAAAGCCACTTTGACTGGAAATTAAATAAACGTAAGGGTGACTTTTGCACAGTATAATAGAAGGTGGGTCTGGATATTTTTAAGTAAATTGTTAAATTGTAAAAAAAATAAGGCATTTTTACGCCCCAGGTCACATGGCATGTTTAGTTGATTTTCTAAGTGAAAATAACACATTCGCTACAGAAAACACACTTCTGCACATTGTCTCACACAATTACTGCTCATTTGCTGAATTAAACATATTTGGGGGAAAAAAACAAAAATCAAAATATGGCCTACATATTATTTTAAAAACATATTTAAGTTTGTGTTGTTAACTTATTTTCACTTAGAAAATCAACAAAATATGTAATTTGACCAGATATTTTCAAACTTTTGCATACAACTATATTTTGCAGTGACTTCTTTAAGGTATAGTACACAATGTTTAGGCTGTGATGTATCTAATACTGTCCATACATTTAAGACATTAGTAGTTTTAGGATTGCATAGTGTAATGGTAAGTGGTTTTGGTACTTTTTTTCTGTAAAAGTACATTCCACATTCTTAGAATACAGTTAAAAAAAATACAAATGATACTGTTCAAATTAAGATGACACTTTTAACATTCGGATTTCTTGCTATTTTTACAAAGGTCCCTCTACACTTATGGAGGCCTCATCAGCCAATGGGGTGGCAAGCTTCCAGAGTGGCGTGGCAGGGGTAGCAGCTGGCTCAGGTGTAGCAGGCCTAATAGGAAAACGGAGGGTTGAGGAACGTTCTACATTCGACAAACGCCTGCGCTTCAGCGTTCGACAGACGGAGAGTGCTTATCGCTATAGGGACATTGTGGTGAAGAAACAGGATGGCTTCACACACATTTTATTTTCTACTAAGACCTCTGAGAACAATTCACTAAATCCTGATGTGAGTTTAAACGTGTTGCACACAGGTAGAAAATTGCATACATATTAGTATTAGTGGTGTATTGCTTTTTTCCTTCCCCATTTATTACAGTAATACAGAGTGTGTTAACTACATTTCTACACTACCAATTGCAAGTTTAGAATCAATGTAATTTAATAATAATGAGACATTTCGCTACTCATGAATGCCTAGTATAATATGGAGATCGTGGCAGATTTGATTAAAAAAAATTGTGGTATAAGGAGTCCTAATAAATAGCAACTAATAATCTTCTAAGACTTTGCTAATGATCGATCTTACTATAATAATAAATGCTACCATGTGAAATATTAAACATTAACTTGATAAGATAATACAAAATATTTTTAATATTAACACCTAATATTTAATAATAGTCAATTAATCATTTGATTAATGCTAATAATCCTGACTCTACTGCTACTTCTTTCATTTTGACAAAAAAATTACATAGTAGTTGCTTTAAGTAGTTATTTATTATTTTGCTTTTTGTGATGCATATACTTTGAAACACTAAAAACATTGACAGTTGACAGACAATTAAAACTGAAAAAAAGTGAAAACTGAATGCAACAAGACTTTTTATTCTAAGTTTACTTACTGTAAATATGTTTGATCACAGGCTGTCTATGCAGCTAACCTCTACCCCAAATATGCCTTGCCCAGACAATAATAATAGACAGTAATGTTAGCAGTTAACTGCAGCTGTCTGAACTGTGCCTTGCTTGAAAGGTTATCTGGACCCCCAAATTAATTATTGGACTTATCAAGACAGTGTCCTTGATTAACACTCAAGCCTGTTTGATAGCATGCAGTAGTTAGTCTGCCAGCTAAGCTAGATTTAGCACCTCAACTTGCCCAACCCTATCCTTGTATGCCAATGCATTATACATTCAAAAAAAGGTCTGAATAAAGAGAACTTTTGCATTCACTTTTCATTCAAGTTTTATCTTTCAGTGTTTTATAGCACTGCAAATGTTTTTCATGAATACATTATAGTAAAGTGTAGTGAACATTATATATATGTACAACAACATTATAAAGTTTAGTTGCAGTTTATAATATGGGTCCAATTTATGATTAATGTCTAAAGCAGTATATACTAAGCATTTAACAAGGGTTAACTAAGCCAGGGGTCGGCAACACGTGGCTCTTTTACTGCCCTGTTGCGGCTCCACAGCAGAATTAGATTTTTAGGTACAAATAAAACAATCGTTATGTGCAGTAAAATAAAGCTCTGCATTTCGTTCTAGCAAAGTTTTAACAATAAATGATCTTAAACGCTGGAATTATATGTAGAACTGCTTATTCACCCTTTAATCCTGAAGATTGGCGCTCAGACAGCTGGTCACACAGCGATACAGACAACAGTCTCATCTATTTAGCAGCTAACAAAACGGCAGAGAGAGAGATTGAAGACGAACATTGATAATTTTGAGACAATCTGACTTATTTGCATTTATATTTGCATACTCCAGCTAGTTTCCTGATACGTTTAGTATGCAACAAGAAACTGTCAAACACTAAAAAGTCGTGAAGCTGAAGTCAGCTTCTTGTTTGAATTTTCCCATTCCACCTTAAATGGTGCAGCAGTTACGTTCTGGCGCCTCAGGCACAATTTAGGGTGGAAAGGGAAAATTCAAACGAGAAGCTGACTTTAACCTCGTAAAAAGTCGAACGTTAAGAGACATTTTACAAGTAACTCTTCTACTTTTGCAGAAAAGTTTGCTGCGGAAGATGTGAGAAAAGAGGCTATAGCTAAAGCTTAAAGCAGAGCAAAGTAAGTCTGCGCTTTTGTTGATATTTTTAGCCTATACTAGGACATAGACCACTGTAGACATGTTGTCGTTTTGTAGTCGGCGCCATGTTCTTATGCCCATATTAGGAACTCCGGGTCTGAGCTTGATTTCTCTATGGCCAGAATGAATGGGGTTTTCAAAAAGTTGCCTCTGTCGCACCCTATGTTAAATTAAAATGTTCAGAACCCAAAACATTTTCTCCTATGAATATTCTTCTCTCGAATATCACTGGATCCTCTGAATTACGAGGTCATTGAAGTGTTGAAATATTAATATTGCTACATGTAAGCTAGGGCTGGGCGATAAAACGATAACGATAATTATCGCGATATAACTTTTCCTCGATAGAGCGATACAACATGTTCGATAAATGTTCGATATAATACACCATTCGCACACTTCCACGTTCTAGCGAAAGCCTTGGTGGCGTTTTCTACTGCAAGGAAAGTGACACTACTCAGCTGTCGCCAGGAGAGGGCGCACTTCCGAGTTTTCCGACATGATTAGAGAGGGAGGGGGCCACTAGTAAGATGAGTCTTTAGCAACAGCTGAAACGTGGAGTTATACATTCACAATCCTCACAACTACAGCGCTGTTGCAGCGCTCGGACAGTCATAATTTAGTATGAGTGCATTCCCAAGCAACGAAAGTGAAAGAAAGAAGTGAGTTCATGTAAATTACAGCCCTGATTTAAACAAAAGTAAACTGAGGAAGCTGTGAGGCACTGGAGAGCGGGAGAGCGCTAGCTTTCCAGGCTAGCTGTTTTTAGCAGCTGGCTAACTTGAAGCAGCGCACTGTCACTCACACAACACGGAGAATTGATGATACTGTAGATCAAACACGACACAAAAGCACCACTTTCAGTTTAAACGTACCTAAAAAGAGGACTCAGTTTGTCTGGTGTTGATATTTTGCGGGTCACCACTTAAACTACTACGATAGTATAGAGAAATCCTGTTGTCGCTAGCTGGTGTCTGAATACTGTGATGTCATTTGTAACGGGGTAGCCGAGCGCTCGTCATTTTTGGCCACATCGCCCAGCTCTAATGTAAGCTAATGCTACCGCACACTGAATTGACGTCATTAGACTGTTAGCCTCCCTAAGCACATGTATTTTCATGCACAGACTGAGTGCAGATGAAAAGAAGTCAGAACAAAAGAAGCAGGTTTTTCTGCAGTTCTGTGTTTATCTGATACTCACTGAAACACAACAGATCTTTGCTTTCTGTACATAGCTTGATTTGAAAAGCTCTACAAACTTACCTGCACTGAGGCTAATTCAGTGCAGACTCGGCTTAATATTACTGCTCAACCCCTGATAAGCTGACGTAGGCTATCAAAATATCCTAATTTTTATTTTAATGCTGGTAACATTTTCGGTGGACATTTTCTCAGGACATTCGCCAGTTTCTTGTTTGAATTCTCCCGTTACACCTTAAATGGTGCAGCAGTTACATTCTGAACTGTAGTGCCATTTAAGGTGGAACGAGAAAATTTGAACAAGCAGCTGGTGAAAAAGAAACTCACTTCAGCTTCATGAAGAGTTAAAAAGCATGATATGAGGAGGTTGCCCTATTTCCCCTTGACAGCTGAGTAATATGGACTTACTTGTGCTGTTTCACAGAACTAACATGTCAGTATTATCCGTTTGCTAATGTTTGTGAAAGCTGATCACAACTGCTGCACCATTTAAGGTGAAACAGGAACATTCGAACAAGAAGCTGGCGAAAAAGAAGCTAAATTCAGCCTCGTAGTCTTAACCTTGGTAGTTTTTTTTTCTGATAAGGAGTTTTAGTCTATCAAAATATCCCACCTAGGGCTGGGCGATAAAACGATAATGATAATTATCATGATATAACTGTCCTCGATATCAATATAAGAACTGTTCGATGTAACAGACCAGGGGTGTCCAGTCTCATCCGCAAAGGGCCAGTGGGGGTCAAGGAGTGAAATGAGTTGCCAAATATACTTTGTAGCAATGCCCGAAACGTAGAGTTATATATATATTCCCTGTTTGAATGGAGCGATCGGCAATCTGTTCTCCTGTGACCAAGTGTGAGTGACAAGATAAGTTGCGTAACTGTACTGGCCTACAGCAAACTCACTTCTTTCCTAACATCCTGGCAGTCTTTAGCAGTGTTAAATCACGTCTGCTCCCCACACCTACAGCGCTCAAACAGTCATATTTTAGTGTTAGTGCATTCCCAAGCAACAAAAATGAAAGAAAGAGAGCACTGCACTGATTTAAACAAAAGTAAACTGAGGATGCTGTATGTGTGGCACTGGAGAGTGGAAAAATCACACTGCAGTTAATACTTTTACACACCGAGCGGTTCTTCATCTCTTAAACTACTTTGATAGAATAGAGAAACCTAGATGTCTGTTAGCTTGTGTTTGAATACTGTGATATACTCTGACATGGATGCGGTAGGAGTGATGGCAGTAAGGCGGTGTGATCCATCACTGACATACTGAGCCAGCTAATGTTTGCTTTTCGTATTAAGCTGACGCTGTCGAGAAAATAAGCAGTTTAACACGTCACAACACAGCTAAAAATAATCTGTTTTCTTTCTTAAATTATGAAAATTACAAAAATTGCAACCATGCTTTTCCAGCTGGTAAAAACAGCTAACCACAAACTTTCTCCCATTGTCCCATGACAGATTTGTTCCATTCTTTGGCATGTGTTTGTCATGTTCTCACCATAAAGGATAGTTTAAAATGGCCACTCGGGGGCAAAAATTAGACTTCAAACTTGAAAGAAATAATGATTTGACATTTATCTTGATATTAGAGCTGGGCGATATGGCCAAAAATGTTATCACGATAAACAAAATTCATATCGTTCGATATCGATACATAACGCGATAAATGTCAAATTATTATTTCTTTCAAGTTTGAAGGCTGATTTTGCTCCTGGGTGGTTAATTGCTGTTTTAAACTATGCTTTATGGTCGGAACACGACGAACACTCGCCAAACAGTGGAACATTTCACAAATCTGTCATGGGAGAAAGTGTCTGGTGAGCTGTTTTTACCAGCTGGAAACGCATGGCTATTTTGTAATAGTCATAATCTAAGAAAGAAAACATTATTTTTAGCTGGTGACGAGCGCTTGGCTACCCCGTTACAAATGACATCACAGTATTCAGACACCAGCTAGCGACAACTGGATTTCTCTATACTATCGTAGTAGTTTAAGTGGTGTCATTTGTAACGGCTACCCCGTTACAAATGACACCACTTAAACTACGTAGTAGTTATAGCAAAATATCTAACACCAGACAAACAGAGTCCTCTTTTTAGGTACGTTTAAACTGAAAGCTGTGCTGACGGAGCGCTGCTTCAAGTTAGCCAGCTGCTAAAAACAGCTAGCCTGGAAAGCTAGCGCTCTCCCGCTCTCCAGTGCCTCACAGCTTCCTCAGTTTACTTTTGTTTAAATCAGGGCTGTAATTTACATGAACCCACTTCTTTCTTTCACTTTTGTTGCTTGGGAATGCACTGTAACAGCGCTTTAGTTGTGAGGATTGTGATTGTGATTTAATGCTGCTAAAGCTGGTTAGGATGTTAGGAAAGAGGTGAGTTCGCTGTAGGACAGTATAGTTACACCACTGACCTCATCACTCTCGCTCGGTCACAGGAGAACAGATCTCCTGGCGACAGCTGAGTAGTGTCGCTTTACTTGCAGTAGAAAATGCCACCAAGGCTTTCGCTAGAATGTGGAAGTGTGAGAATGATGTATTATATCGAACATTTATCGAACATGTTGTATTGCTCTATCGAGGAAAAGTTATATCACGATAATTATCGTTATCGTTTTATCGCCCAGCCCTACTTGATATGTATCTGTATCGACTGATATGAAATTTTTTATCATGATAACATTTTTGACCATATCGCCCAGTCCTAATCCTACCCAGAGGTTCTGTTTACAGGTATACCTGTAAATACACGCGGTTGAACATTTTGATAAGGTAGCACAATTCATCAGAACACCGCCATAACCCGCCTTACTTTCGTGTAGCTTAGTGACATCAAATTGATGCGTTGTAGTTTCAGCTCTCATGTAGCAATATTGAGCAGTATTAAGGCTCTTTAACAACCTCATAATTCAGAGGATCCAGTGACATTTGGGAGAAAAAAGTACACATGACAAAATGTATTGGGTTCCGAACATTTTTATTTAACACAGGGTGTGATAGAGGTGATTTTCATTCTGGTCATAGAGAAATTGGGCTTAGACCCGGAGTTCCTAATATGGGCATAACGCGGACTACAGAATGACGCACGACTACAGTGGTTTGTTAGCACATACTGAGACATATTTACAGTCAAGATGGTGACACGTTACTTTAATAAAATACACATGAAATATGGCTCCCAATGTGATCCGATTTTTGTTGAAACTTGACAAAATGGCTCTTTTTAACATGTGGGTTACTGACCCCTGAAAGGACAACTTTATGCATCACAAAGTAGCAAGATGATGAATAACTACTAATCATTTTAAACGACAGTTAAGGAGTTATTCATCATGGTTATGAAGTGCTTGTGTGCAAGTAAATGCTTAATACTTACACATATAATTAGCTATAAGTATCAGCTAACTAAATGATATGACTAACTAATGATATATTGATAAAGATCATTACTAGTTGCTTGTTAGCCATTTAGTTGTTTAAAACTTATAACAAGCTAATTAGGTTGCAATATTAAGAATAATTATTAATTACTGTTGTCACTAAATAAATGATGAAAAAAGATTACATTAAGTAATCCGTACACAATAATAATTTTACATCTATTAATAATCGTTAACAAAGTATTAGATCTTTATTTTAAATCCATACCTTCAGACATTCACACATGCATATGTTTGTGAATAAAACAATATTTTAATTGCAGAGTACAGCCGCTGGATAATAGGTAACAATACTATACAAAATAAAATAGAATAAAATAAAGGTAACTTTTTTTTAGTGTATTGTGACAGTACACTAACCGCTAACTTTTGTTGATATAAAAGCAGATTCTGCCCCTTTCGAATTCCCTGACAGGTCAGCAGTACAGTCTGCCCTGTAGAGATGAATGCTGAGGTGTTTAAAGGAATATTTTGGTGAAAAATCATATGAACATGCTTTATCACTTACCCCAGAATCACTCAGCCAGGATATGTTTAAAATCTGATGTGTGCTTTTTCAGTTTACAGTGGGAGATGCTAGGCTGATGTTGCTAACAAACACTTGACTTAGCATGTTGGCGATCTTATCTCCATAAATACATGCCCAAAATGTCTTTCAAAAAGCATCCAGATCTTCATTTGATTAAACTTTCCTGTATAGATGATTGGTGGGGCAGCCATTGTGTAACCAGAGCCGCTTTAGCTAAATATGTGATCTCATTCTGTACAAGACAAACAAAGGCAAGGCTATGTGAATTCCTAAATGCACATACACAGCATAAGGTAACTTGGCTAAGAAGCTAAGTTAGTGTACTCTGATAATCAAAACAGTGTCTGAATATGATTTTGCTGACTACATTTTCATAATATATGAGCCTCAACTGTATATGTTTGAACCTGAGTGTACAAATTAAGAAATGCATCAGCTGTATGCTGGACCAACCAGTGACTTGCCAGATATACCTGCAACTCCTTGTATGACAGAATTCGAAATGTCAGGTTGGAGATACCAACCGAGTGGAGTGTCTGCACTGTGGGTACTGGGAGCTATTGATGACAGCGCTTAAACAAATTGGCATTGAAGGCCGTAAAAACAGATGTTTATTTCTACAGTCCGACTGTGTAAAGCTACATTTGTAAAGCATGCTAGCTGCATGTGGCATGACAGTAGCTAAGAGAGTACAAAACAGACAGAGAAGACTGAGAAAAAGTAAAAGTTTACCTCAGATTCAGTTCTCATCCGTAGAAGTTAACTTGGAACAGCTGTAGATTTTAGAATATCCTGTTTGCAACCAACTTTGTAATCATCACTTGAAAAATGATGTCTGCATTGAGATTTTGCTCATTATTTTTACTGAAAGGCACTCTTACTAGTTTGTGGTTCATTGCCAAAAGCTGCAGTTTGCATGTTTATGCATTATTAGTGAATCAGTGGAATTGTACTGGGCTACAGCTAGATTTCTTTGTTCTCTTCACTGTTTGTACAAAATGGAATGCCACATTTTTAAAGCTTTATCGTTATTCGAGATGCCACGTCCAACAGACTGTCCAGTAGTTACCCCTTGGCTATGCTAACAAACAAATATGATACCTGTGCAGTGACATTTTGACATATGACATCCCCCTTGTGGTTCAGTTTGAAAGTGGAATAATACTGCAAAGCAGAACATTATGTGGATTATAATTTAGTTTCGGTTTTAGTCTTTATGTTTAAAAGCATGTGTTTACCGAGAAGAGGTTGATGACTGTCCAGAATTTGTTAACAACGTTAGCCTAGGATCACCCTAAAAACAAAAGCACACATCAGATATCAAATATATCTTGGCTGATCAGCTGCATCTGGGGTAAGTGACGAATCATGTCAATTAGATATTTTGCCAAGCTATTCCTTTAAGAGCTATGTCCAGAACTGACTCACCAAGCAAAATTTAAAAGAAACACAATGTAGCAGACAGTGTCTTCGTTTGTCCTGTTTAGCTTGTAACAGCTGATCCATTTAGTATCTAAATGAGCAAATATTCACCATTTGGTTGCTGGGCAGTGGTCTATGTAAACCTCACTGCCAGAATTGGACCGGCACGCTGGCGAGCTTTCCTCTGTTTGTGCCTGTGTCAGCAGCTGCTGCACTTACTAGAATATCCAAAAAGCTGCTTGAGAATAAACAGATTTTTTTATTTATTTTCTCAGGTACCTAAGATTTTTGCTTAGAACTGTATGTGACAAGTGATTCCAAACGATAGAGTAGATTTAATTGATTTCTTTTATCATTTTTATTATTATTAATTGTTAAAGCATTTTAGAATAAGCAAATGTTTATATTGTTTCATTAGCAAGGAGTGTTGTATCCTGAATGTTTTCTCTGGTGTATGGATGCTGCAGGTGATGAAGGAGGTTCAGAGTGCCATGGCCACAGCATCAGCTGATGACAGTAAGCTGGTCCTCCTGAGTGCTGTTGGCAGTGTGTTCTGTTTTGGCCTGGACTTCATCTATTTTATCAGACGACTCACAGATGACCGGAAGAGAGAAAGCATCAAGATGGCAGAAACTATCAGGTAAAAACAAATATGCCTGCAATTACTAATTGATGAAATTAATGATGTACTAATGTAGAAATGTAGCTTCAGCACAAAGTACAGAAAGCAGTGGGAGTAAGATGTATATGGCCGTGGGTGTTCGGGGTTCGATAGATTCTGTTGATAAAGCTGAAGTGAATGCACTGGTTAAGGTTCTTAGTGTTAATAGTCTTACTGTTGTCTTTTTCTTGCATTGTAGACATACAATAAAGCCAACGTCCTTGCAATACGTAATGTAGTTTTCAGAAAGTGTGCAAAGTGTAAGACTGATAATGCTGGTTGAAGATGTGTATGTGGAAAAAACAGCCTACAAGCTATGTTTCGAGTAGTTACTGACTTACTTCATAATAACAAACAAAGACAATGGAGAAGTGATGGAGAAGGAGAGTGGTGATTAAGCAGTCACTTGCATAGTAATGCAGAGGTCAGATGGATTTTGCAGAAAGATCATACATCACGTAAAATCATTAAAAACTGATCATAATGCAACATTTGCACTTTGGATTGACAGAACTGGTGTTTTAAAAATTGAGTGATTAAAAATGGAAAAAAGGCACTGTTTTTACTAATGGTCTCATAGGACAAAATAATACACGCTGTGTTCAGCAAGCTGGCAGTGGTAGGTGAATGTGGCATTAGGAATCTTGCTGTCATTGATTAGTGGTGGGATTCCTGCAATAACAAGGACTCGAACCTTTGATCTTCCATGTGCATATACTCTGTCATTTGACCAGAATTAATTTTTCAGTTCAGCAGTTGACAGTAAAGAATCTAAGGCAGTAGAAAGCTTTGAAGCAGATGCATAGAACCTCACTATACTAGATTAATAAATACCAAAATTGCTTCATCTGAATAATTTTAAGCTTTGTATGGAAGTCTTCACCACCAAGTATTAAACTCAGTGTCATGCTGTACTTGTGGTTTACATATTTGGCCTTCCATACACTTCGATTTTTTTCAGGGCGGTGTAGGCAGGAGCCATTTGCATTTCGCAATCATAGTTCACAAGTTGCTCCGTATGAAGAATGTTGAGCGTGCTTTCTTAAAAATGCTTCTTGTTTCTTCAGGATAAGGATATCTAAAATAATACATAATAGACATAAGTAATAATTTGCAAATACATATAATGGTGTTAATAATTGTGTGTTAGTTGTCTAAAAAAATATAACATTACACATATAACAAATGTTAATTTTTTGTCCCCAGGACATTTGTGAACACGTTCATCCAATTCAAGAAGCCTATTATTGCTGCTGTGAATGGACCTGCTATTGGGCTTGGAGCTTCCATCTTGCCCCTTTGTGATGTTATCTGGGCCAATGAGAAGGCCTGGTTCCAAACTCCTTATTCAACCTTTGGCCAGACACCAGATGCCTGCTCCTCTATAACATTTCCTCACATAATGGGAGTTGCTTCGGTTAGTACATAGCACATTTTGTTCTTGTCTCTCCACTAAAAAGGTATATAATTCTACTAGTTTCGTAGGATTAATTCAATTTCTGTCGGTTTAGCAATTTTATTATTTCTTTCACTTTCACTTTGGGCTGAGAATAACTTCCATTATGAAAAATAAAATGCACAGTGTATTTGTCGTATGCATTTGAAAATGTATAAAATGGCCAAAAATATTTAACACACTTCCGGAATATAAAAAACATGCCCACAAAATGTTTGAATTACACTCTGGCTTTCAGGGGTGAGGTGTTTTATGTTGCAGTGTGTACTTAAAATTTTTTGCCGTACGGTTAGGAATAGAGGGTGGTCCAAACTTTAGCATTGCATTCAAGATTTAGCCTTGGAAAATACATTGGGCATTTCTAAGTCATGAGTTCCTACAGATATTTTTAGTTTGCTTCATGCACTGAAACTGACATACTGATATAGCCTACTTAACAATACATTATCTCTCTGTCAGACAGATTATGTGATGTTGCACTTTTTACATTGGCCAGTCACAAGAATCCACTCAAATCTGTTAATCTGATCAAACACAACAACTGGCTACAATACGAACAATCAAAAAAATGAACTGTTAAATGTTTTAAATGCTTTAAAATGCTTGACTGACCATCGAGCAATAACAAACATCATGTACCAATGAACAACCATATAAACATAAGCAAAAGCTAACATATCCCTACTTTTACTCAGATAAATCCACATGACAGAAACAAATGAGCTCTTACAGGACTACAGTATGTCAAAAGCATTTTGCAGTTTAATTTAATTTTGATTTTTCACACAAAACTCTGGCTCCCTCACAATTTGAACATTGCACATATCTGTATTTTTTCCTTTTTTCACCCCTCCAACCAATTTTTTTATTTTATTTTTTTTTTTGAGTGAGTGAGAATACTGGATTTTAAAGCGTTTAAATGGTTCTGTTTTAAAACGTTAGATTATGAAAAGTAAAAATATGTACTTTTCCCTAGGAAAAACTTAGGTCAGGTAGACAGTTGTACTTTAAAAGCATTGTTGTGCCATTGAGTGTTCATTTACATTGTTTATACTTCTATGAATGAAAAATGTAGTAGCCAAATATGAGCCTAAAGTTGCTATACCTAATGGTGAGTGTAGACCAATGGGATATAAAGTTTCCCAACAATGGGTTGTGAAGCAGTGGAACTGCTTTTTCAGGAGTGATGGAGCGCTATCCAGTACCTTTAGGATGACTTGGAACAGTGTTTGTGGTCCAGAACGAATCACCCAACATCATTTCCTGACCCCTCTGATGTTCTAATGGCTGAATGCAACTAAATCCTCACAACGATGTTTCAGCAACTTTATTAAAACCCTTATTAATACTTGATTTCAGAGGAAGCATTGCATGAGCAGGTGTCTGCAAACTTTTGCATTTTTCCTTTGTATAACATGTAGTTTTAATTTCTTTAAAATACATGCGAATGTGTTAATGTTTTGTTTTTTTTAAAAGTAGGTCAGTTACAAAATGAGAAGATTGAAAACATTTTTGTTTGCACAATTTGAAGATTTTTTGAGTTAACAATCTTTTTTTTCATCTACACTGGGGTTACAGAAAATTATAATAAAATTTCAATCCTTAAAAAACAAACAATAAAACACAACCCAATGTTTGTTTCTAAAATTCAAGTTTCTTTTAAATCACACATTTTTGCGTGCAATAATGAATTCAAAAGCTCTTCATTATAACTGACTAGATCCCATTGATAATGCATACCCTTACCGTTGACATCAAAGACGCTGGCCAACATTAAGTTTCTTCATGTCACTGATGTCAAGATTGCACATTTAACATTGCCAATTCACTGCTTTTTCTGATCTGCAAGTGTTCTAATTTGTCTTGTCTTAAAACAGCAGAATTAAAATCATTTACTTTTACTTTCTCTCACCATTAAGTTATAATTGTTGCGCTTGTAAAATAAGTAATATAGTATAATCTTTGACAGTCTAAGGGAATATACTGTAAATTTTAAGATAAGCAGCTTAGCTTTCTGTACCCTTTATATATTAAATTTGATATCTTTATCTGACATTTATCAGGAAACAGCTCTTAATAAGCAAGTCTTAATGCACACCCAATTCCAAGAAGATGGGAGAGTGTCTGAAATGCTAATAAAAACAGAAAGCAGTGATTAAATCTGTTTGACCCATTTTAAAATGAAAACGGTACAAAAAAAAACACATTTTATGTTTTACCTTATGAACATCATTGTTTTTTTTGTTTTTTTTTTAAATAAATGCTCATTTCAAATTTGATGCCAGCAACACATTTGAAAAAAGTTGGGACAGGAACATGTTAACACTTAACACTCATTTGGGGACTGAAGACCCAAGCTGATCCAGTTTTGATCCAGTTTTTTTTTTGCCATTCTTCTGTTTTTCAAGTCTTCAGCTGTGCAGCCGTACGGGTCCTGTATTGTTGTATTTTGAGCTTTTCCGCCACACATTTGCAATGGGAGACAGGTTTGGACTGCAGGCAGACCAGTCTAATATCTTCATGCTCTGGTGCTGATGCTGTTGTCACACATGCAGAATGGGGCTTGGCTTTGCCATGTTAAAGTAGGCATGGACGTCCCTGACAAAGATGTTGACTAGAAGGTAGCAAATGTTGCTCCAAAATGTATTTAGCTTTAATGGTGCTTTCACAGATGTGCAAGTTACCCACTAGTACTCCCCATGCCATGACAGATGCTGGCTTTTGAACTTTACATTGGTAACAACCTGGATGGTCATTTTCTTCTTTGGCTCATAGAACACAACGTCCATTTTTACCATAAACAATCTGAAAGTTAGACTCGTCAGACCACAGCACACATTTCCACTGTGCATCAGTCCGTTTCAGATTACTTGAGTCCAAAGAAGTTAGCAGTATTTTTGAATGACTTCTACTGTGCATGGTACAGTCTTGCTTTGAGGATGCAGCAACGTGTTTATTGACAGCAAAGTTTTCCCGAGCTCATTTGGCAATATCCATCACAGAAGTATGCCGTATTTAGTTGTGGTTTTGGCCTTGCTGATTTACACACAGAGATTTCTCCCAGATTTTTTGCAATGTCTCAGTGAGGAGGGTTATTTTTAAACTGTTGAATTTTTTGCTGATACAATTTTGACAAAGTGACGAGCCTCCAATTTTTCTAGCTCATAAAGGACTAGGCCTTTCCTGGATGCTCCTCCTCCCAAACATGATTGCATCACCTGTTTTTTGAACATTGGACTGCATTCTTAAGTCTTAAATTTCCTCTGTCCCAACATTTTTGGAACATGTTGCAGGCATCAATTTCAGAACGAGCATACAAAAACTATTAAGTTGTTAAGATTAAACTTCAAATGTCTTGACTTTTTTTGTTTGAATACAGGCCAAACTAGATTTATATATCACTACTTTTTGTCTACATTTTACCTGCTGTCCCAGTTCTTGAATTTTAGTTTGTATTTCTCATGACCATGTTTACTCTGGAAAACCAATATATGCTGTTCGTTTTCAATTAAGCCTAATTGAACTATCCCCTCCCCTACTTTTAGGCTAACGAGATGTTGCTGAGTGGGAGGAAATTGACAGCCCAGGAGGCCTGTGCCAAAGGTCTGGTGTCCCAGGTCCTCTGGCCAGGGACCTTTACTCAGGAGGTCATGGCTCGCATTAGGGAGCTAGTCTCTTGTAATTCAGTTGTAAGTCATCCTTTTGAACTTCACTTAAAATTAAGTGTTCATTTGCTAGCATTTGTATGTCCATACGGAAAAATAATATGAAAATATTTAGATTATCCATATATATATATATATATATATATATATATATATATATATATATATATATATATATGCATGCATAGGAATTACTAATATCTCAACTGTAGTATTTGTAGGTGGATATACACCGATCAGCCATAACATTAAAACCACCTCCTTGTTTCTTCTCTCATTGTTTTTTTTATCAGCTCTACTTATATAGGTATCATATATATATATAGGTGCACTTTGTAGTTGTACAATTACAGACTGTAGTTGCTCTGCATGCTTTCTTTTTACCATGTTGTTCAATGGTGAGGTCCATCACAGAGAAGGTATTATTTGGGTAAATGATCATTCTTAGCACTGCAGTTGGTAACATGGTGGTGGCGAGTTAGTGTGTGTTGTGCTGGTACAAGTGGATCAGACACAGCAGCTCTATTTGAGTTTTGATACACTGTGTCCACTCACTGTCCTCTCTGTTTGACACACCTGCCTTGTTGGTCCATGTTGTAAATGTAATCTCAGAGACAAACGTGTCTGTTACTGCGCGGTTTGTGTTAGTCATCCTCTAGTCCTTTACCAGTGGTCACAGGACGCTGCCCACAGGATGATGTTGGCTGGATATTTTTGATTGGTGGACTGTCTCAGTCCAGCAGTGACACTCAGGTATTTAAAAACTCCAGCAGCACTGCTGTGTCTGATCCACTCATACCAGCGCAACACACACTAACATGCCAATACCATGTTAGTGTCACTGCAGTGCTGAGAATGATCAGTTACCCAGATAATACCTTACAGGGTATAAAGCGGCTAACAAAGTGGACTACAGTCTGCAGTTGTATCGTAAGTGCATCTTTATGGTAAGTGGAGCTGATAAAACGGACAAGAAGTGTAGAAACAAGGAGGTAGTTTTAATATTTTGGTGATCAGTGTATGTATATGTCTTTGCAGTAGTGAAAAATGCCATTTCAATAACGTTGAAATGTATAATTTGTATTTGTATATTTGTACTATTAGGCATATGTAGAATTTCCAGGATGTATTTACAAAATAAAATCTCAGGCAGGTATTTATACAGTGTTACATTTGACAAAATAGTATTTAGACTTACATTGCACCAGATGTGTGTATATTCATGGTCATATAAATATTAATTAAGAAATTCACATGTAAGATAAAAATATCTACCCTTATAGGGGTTATTGGGACATATATGCCCATTTATCAGATTTTCATACGGATGTATTTATACATTTGCCCTCAACTTCATATTTTTCCCCCCATTTCTCATACATTTCATTGAAGGTCATGCCCAACTGACCTCTAAAACAAAACAAATCCATATGCCATTTGTGTGAAACATTAGCTTGTTACATGCACAGTAGTACTATCGCAGTATCTCTTTGTTATATATGCTAGTACTGGATTTCAGTAGCAGTAATTGTATCTTAATTGTTTAAAGTGAATTTTAGTAAATGAATATTTTTATCTGTATAGCTTCACACTGCATCATCATCCATAAATCATTTTCTTTTTTCTTTTTTCTGTTTCATTTTACTTTATTGTCATGCTGATGACGCCATGACAACACTGTAGGTTCTGAGGGAGTCCAAAGCACTGGTGCGGAACATTAACCGGGCTGCCCTCGAGCAGGCCAATGAGAGGGAGTGTGAAGCATTAAAGAGGGTCTGGGGCTCTCCTCAGGGCATGGACTCTATACTAAAATACCTTCAGAAGAAGATCAATGAGTGAAATGACTGCTAAAAAGTAACCATTATATGCTGGACACCATTCACAAGTGCCTGATGTTAAAGACAGTTTTAGTGCGACAAAACGGCATCATGGTAAATCCCAATATTGACCCCTCTTATTCATTAGTTTACTGAAATATGGGACTTCAAGGCCTTTACCAAGTACAAATGTTTTTGTTTTTTTTCTTTCAGTAGACAACAAGGTGCCCTGCACCCTGATAATGACTGTAATGTGTAATCCGTTATGTGTGTTTTTGTCCTATGGGTTACTAGCAGGAAACTTGGTTCAGGTAAAAGATGATTTTTTTTTTTCCATTAAAATGGTTAAAAAGCATTTTATGATTGGGCTCTGTCCACTGAACACCTTGTGATAACAGGTTTAATGGACTTCCTGATAACAGTTCTGTCTTTTGTTCTTTTAAGAAAATGCTTAAAATCATTATGAGTACCTGTGTTTATATTCTGTCTTGAACTAATGTTGTTCATCCACACATTATTTACTAGTTTCCAACAAAACATCTCTTGTGCAAAAAAAAAAAAAAGACATCAATCTTTTAGTCATGTATGTTTGTACATATATAGCTTTGTCAAACTTCCAGCTATAAAATGTGGAAAGTTATTTAAAATATGTTTATATTTAGTATTTATTGAACACCCAGTGTTTGGGAATAATGATTTCTTTTGTGTTTTTCCCTTTGAATTGGTTCACTGTACGTTTAATTCTCGTTTGGCAAGTCCCCTAATTGTATTAGGGGACTTACCAAATGAGTACTGTTTTTATTCTGAGTTGTTTCATTTATTTTACATATTATAATTTGTCTTTCTTTCTTTAATGTGATATATTTTTTTAAGTTTTAGGAGGGAAAAACTGACTGGTAATGTATAGCTGTATAATGTTTTCTACTCTACTAAAATAATTTTCCTTGTCTAATTTCTCGATTGAAAATATAGTGGATTAAAACACTTTTGGAACTGGTTAAAAAAATTCCCTTTGAACGGAATCTGCCTTCTTTTTCTTCATCATACTGTTCCTGATTAAAAAAGAAATTGTAATACTGCAGGCTTATAGTTTTTGAAAGTGTACTTTAATGACAGTTACTCTTACGTCAGCCTCATAGGCTTGTGATAGACTAGTAGCAAAATCTAAAATATTTGTGCTGTGATCTGAGCACCCAAAAGATGTTTTGACTGGTTCAAAGAAGTTAAATACTTCAATTTTATAGGTCTCTCATTGTTAAGTTTGAGGTAGAGTTCGGTGAACTAGAACCTTTATTTTACCAGCTGACTTTAATGTCAATGTCTTTAAATCTTCTTGACCTTTATGACAGCAAACATAGCTTCAAAAAGTAAAAGAGTAGGAAGACTTCATTCTGTGTCTTTGTGCTTCATGCATATTTTTTGGGGAGCACATGAAAGACGAGTCATAATAACAGAAATGAGCAATAGCCATTGAGAGTGCAAGAGAAAACTCTTGAGCAGTAGTATACAAGTAGACCAATTGGGCATTCTGTGGCTACGAAGGGAAGCGACTAACCAAAGACAAGTAAGCAGCAAGGCAATTCCTGCTGGTCTTTCCTGAATGCAGACCGGACGTCACCCACTCCTGGAGTACGCCCTCGCCGCCAACAACCTTGTTCAGGTGGATCAGTGCTGGACTGTGAGACTGTGGTACCTTCACCTCTAAGTTCAATAGTTTCTAGTCCTCCATGGCAGAAATGTCCTATCAGTCTATAGCCATAGTTGTGAGACCCACTGTCTTATACATGCACAGGGAGGGGTTTTAAGGCCAATTTTAGATCTGTGTATTGAACATGCACCTCAGAAGGTACAAGTTTAGAATGCTCACACATGCAGCATTTTGTACATCATGACTGCCGCCATGTTCTGGTTTCAGTAGGTATCGTGCTTGAAATGTGCCAGATTCTAAGTAAATTTTCTTTTAAAAAGCTTTTAAACAGTATTTCATGAACCTCAAAATAGATGTTATTGTGGTATTGTTGAATTTTGGTTATTGGTTATTATTGGTTATTGATTCTCTTGTTGAGTATTAGATTTATTCTTGAGTATTGTTTTTGTCTTGTTTATGATACAGGATGATTGTAAAGAAGTTTGCAGTATTTTTATTGCAGTTGCTCTTGTGTGGAACCCAGGAAGACTAGCAACCACTTTATGGAATCTAATGGGGATCCTAATAAAGAATAATGTGGAAACCATTCTAAGAAGAAGTGATGGGCACCATCCTGGTTAGAAAGCTGGGCACATCAGACAGGGGCAACCCATGAGTGAGAAGTCAATAAAATGGGTGTGGAGCTAACATTTACAGTCAGCCCACATGAATTACCTGAAACTAACAGTCTTAAGACAAGACATCTCGCTTTTTGTTTGAACAGACAACACTATGGTGATAGCTTATATAAACTGATTCATGTGTTTTACAGTTGGGGGCAGACCTGCCTGCTATGGGGAATGGCAACTAATGGTAAATCAGATCTAGGATTGTTTTGTAGCCACACCTTAGATCTGTTTGCCATGAAGGAGAATCAGTGCCCCCTCTATCGGGAGGTCATAGAACAAGTAAGAAATTGAAAATGGAGAAAAAGAAGTCTGCATCTATAAGGAAATATAGAGTGGTGGAATTATTTAAAAGGCTGTTTTGTCAACTAGCTTTCCCCAGTGACCTAATAAATTAGCTCTAAGATGCCTTGGTCTTGTCTGGTTTCACAAGCTAACCTAAGATTTTTATGGGCAGAGCCTGGATGGGAGACTGACTGAGATTCCTGGGCTCTGTAAGCTTTCAAGCCCTATGTGTAATGTAGCATGTCATACTTATAGCCAAATGTAAATGATAGTATGGAAAAACAAATAAAAAAGGGGGAAAAGAATTCTCCATCTTTTAGGTTATATGGAGTGGTGGAATACTTTAAAAGGCTGTTTTGCAAGCAAGCAATCGCCAATGACCGAATAGGGTCAAATGGGGTCAAATGGGATTCGTAGGCTATGTAAGCTTTCTAGCCCTACCTTTTATTTAAATAAGTCATCCTTGAAAACAGCCAAAAATTTAAACAAGGAAGAAAATAAAAAAGGGGGAAAAAAAGCCAGGATCTTCCTGGTAAGTGTCTGGAGGGAAGACTGACTGACATTCCTAGATTTTTAAGCTTTCCAGGCCTGCTTTTTATTTAAAAAGTCATGTATAAAGCTAATTATATGTAAATGATAGTATGGAACAAGATCAAAATTTCTTGAGTGCAAAAAATTGGATCTATTATGTTGTATTGAGTGGTGGAATACTTTAAAAGTTTTGTAAGTGAGCTGTTCTTAAGCTAAACCAGGGTTAGTCTGGTCAGGGCCTGAATGGGAGATCAACCTAGATAGGCTCTATAAGCTTTTCAGCTCACTCATTTGTTTTGAAGGTCATCCTTAAATACAGCCAAATGTAGATAATAATGGAAGAATGTAGATGGAATGTAAAAAGGGGGAAAATGTCTGCATCTGTTACGTTATACATAACATAGTGCTGGAATACTTTACAAGGCCATTTCATCTGCAAGATTTCATAAATGACAGAATAGCTTGAAGAAGCCGTGGTATAGTCTGGTTTCACAAACTAAGCTGGGATCAGCCTGTTTAGGGCCTGGATGGGAGACAATTTCTGATCAACCGTGGTGATTAGTCAGGGTTTTACTATATTCCCAATTCTTAAATTAAATCTTGGAAGATCAAATCATAACCTGGTTCATCTTCTGCCTGTGTACAAACTACTTGTACATAGGGAGCCGGCTGTCACCTGCACAGTGAAGAAATGGTCTGGGGAGACTGAAGAGGTTTTGAAAAATTGTTTTGACACAACTGTGTGGGAAGAACTGTGTGATCCTTATGGGGAGAACATCGACAGTTTCACATACTGTATAACTGATTACATAAACTTTTTGCATGGAAAACACTGTACCCACCAAGACTGTTTTGTGTTTCTCCAACAACAAACCATGGATCAACCCTGATATAAAGGTTCTCCTGAAAAAGAAAAATAGGGAACACTTAATAATAATGACTTATTATTAAGAAGAAACTTATTATTAAGAAGAATTATTAAGAACATTATTAAGAAGAAACTGAGCCTAGGCCTCAGAGCCTCCATTTCACATTATATTTTTTACAATCTAATGGATGGGTCATTGATAGCAGATCCTTGCCTGGGTTTCAGAGCTGTTGACACAATTCCTTTCAACTACCTGAACAGATAAGGATTTTGGTTAAAAGACCCAAGGACTTTGCCTCCATTTGAATAGGAGCTTGGAGGAATACTATAAAGAATTAACTTAAATAGGAAACTAAAAATGTGAAGAGAATTCTGTAGCTCAGGCTAAGGATCTAGTAACCATGACCCAGACTTTTAGGCTTAAAAAAACATAAAATCTCAGCTTTGAAACAAAGGTCATGGGCTCACTATCTAATACTCAACACTTAATAATAATGACTATAACATTGGAATAGGAGCTTGGAGGCTGAGTCGTTGAGTCTTTGAACAAAAATGTTCAGATAGTTGAAAAGTAATTGTGATAACAGCTCTGAAACCCAGGCAAGGATTTGTTATCAGGGACCCTTCCATTTAGACTGTAAAGAATAAAATGTGGAATGGGCGCTCTGAGATTAGGCCCAGTGTTTTCTCGCCAACAAAAAACAACTTAGAATATAGCAAACAAATTTGGTTGGGAGGTCTGAGGCTGAGGCCCAGGGTGCTATATATATAGCAATAAACATCCTGACGCCCAGGCAAATGTCCAGTAGCATGAGTCAGCCATTTAGACTCTAAAGAATAAAATTTGGAATAGGAGCCAGGTCACAACATCATATCACCAACACAAAATCGCTTAGAATAAGGCCAGGACCCAACCACTTAGAATAGGAACTATAATATTTGAATGGATATTTTGAGGCCAACGCCCAGGGTCTTTTCACTGCTATTCTGAACTGAGGCCAGTGATGAAAAGAAATTGCAATGAAAGCTCTGAAGCAATAACCAGTATCAGACATTTTATCTTGAAAAAGTAAAATGGGACATTAGCTCTTATACATGGGCCCAGATGCCTCTAACCAATTACCTTAGAATAGTGAAAAAAGAAATGTGAAGAGAATTCTGTAGCCCAGGCCAAGGATCTAGTAACCATGACCCAGACTTTTAGACTTAAAAAACATAAAATCTCAGGATTGAGCCAAAGGTCCCACTATTAACCCAAACCTTAGTAATAATGGCTGTAACACTAGAATGGATGCTTGGAGGCCCAGCCACTGGGTCTTTTAACCAAAATTCCAACCTGTTCAGATGGTTGAAAACAAATTGTGATAACTACTCTAAAACCCAGGCAAGGATCTGTTATCAGTGACCCAGCCATTTAGACTGTAAAGAATAAAATGTGGAATGGGGGCTTTGAGGCCTAGGTGTTTTCTTGACAACACAAACACCTTAAAATACAGTGAATACATTTGTTTGGGATGTCTGAGGTCTAAGTTACACAGAAAATGTGATTGTCTGCACTTCAGAAGTACTCAAACGCTTCAGAAGGGTCAGAAACTCTATGCAGTATTGTTTTTGTGAAGAAATGTTAATGATTATAAAAGTTTTGCTAGAAAATACCTTTTAAATGTAAAGGAACTGACCAAAAAACACATTTTCATGAGAAACAATACTAAACCTTTACGTGGGTGAATTAATCTATACAATACTGAAATCGTCCTTGCAAATGCTAATTCACACTGAAAAGGCATTCACAAGTGCTCAAATGGTGTAGAAATGCAAGAAACCCTATACAGTGTTGTCTTTCAGTAAAGATATTATAATCTTTTATATTTTTAAAACTTTAATATGGGTGGCAATATGATCAGTACAATATTAAAATAGTCGGTATGGATGCTAAATTACACTGAAAGTTTAATGTTTAGTGAACTCCACAAGCGTAAACGCTTGAGAAGAGTCAGAAACGCTGTGCAATATTATATTCTCTGGGAGACGTTTTAATGATCATAATCATACATTTCTGCCATAAGACGCCCTTTTAATGTAATAGAAGTGACCTAAAATCACATTTTCAAGAGAAAGAATACTAAAGCTTAAACTTGGGTGACTACACCTGTACAATACTGTAATCATCGCTATAGACGCAAAGTTGCACTAAAAAGGTGTTTACTGTATTTCACGAGACAGGAATGTTGTGGGGGTATTCTCTTTAAGTGAAGACATTCTCATGACTGCAAACAGACATTTCTGCTAGAAAACACCCTTTAACTATAATGGAACTGACCTAAAATCATATTTACATGAAAAGGAATACTAAAACTTTAACTTGGGTGACTAAACCTGTATAATACTGAACTAGTTGGTGTGGACCCGAAGTTAGACTATGTTGTTTATTAAGTAGCGATGATGTGAAGATGCTGAAGAAGTCTCCGCTGACACCGCATTACTTGCATAAGATGTTTATTACAAAGTAAAATGGTATCATATTAAGCACTATAAAGTACCTGAGAGAGGATCCGTGCCAATTGTGTCCCCTCCAGAACAGAATATCCAACTGTTTATATAGGGTGCTTGTTGTTGAAAAAGCAAACTGAACATATGGCCCTTTTTAAATTGATCTCATCTATGTGGAACTAAGAGATAGACCTTTGGACCAGGAGGCCTTTTTAATGTAAACATTCCAAATCCTGCAGGACAGATAATACAGAAGACTTCAAACCTCACCTTATACTTATAGAAGTTTAAGAGTGTTTTTACCTTCTTCTATAAAACTATTCTTCTAAATACACCTCAACTAGAAAGGTGGCACCCTGTTTACTAAACTCCAAAAGGGCTCAAATGCTTTATAAAAGCTAGAATCGATATGTAGTATTACCTTTAAGGGAAAACATTGTAATGTTTACAAAGAGACGTTTCTGCCACAAATACCCTATAAATGTAAATGAAGTGAGTAAATCACAATTTAACGACAAAAAATTCTAAAATTTTAACTTGGGTGATTAAACCTGTACAATTGTGAAATCGTGGTTTTAGGTGGTTGCTTACCCTGAAAAAGCGTGTAAAGTTTTCACTTAAACATAAGGGACCACGGTAAAGTTAGTTTTATTTTCAATATTCGTCTTTTTGGCACTAATAACATTTGATCGGACTACGGTAGTCAGTAAAGACTTACGTATTCATGACAATATGACCACAGAGAGTGATGCACACATGTGCTTTTGCAGTTTGGGCAACATTTAACCTACCGCTCTATTTGTGTTAATACCATAGAACTGAGACAAGTTTTTCAATCAGAAGAAAAAGCATGCACTTCTAGACCATGCCTACATCCATGCACAGGCATTTGTTTTCCTCCAAAGCGTTTCTGTGCATTTAAATACACATTTTAATTGTTCATGCTAACAATACACACCGTCAGACAATAAAATGTCAACAGCTCCATAAACACGGTGTCCATACACATCTGATTAATTGTGTCCTTTCTTCCACTGTGAGAAGTTAACTCAGTACTATGGGTCTGAAAGGATGTATAGCTGTCAAGAAGCCTAACTGAAAAAAGGAGACACATCAAACAAAGATGCTGCTGATGTTCTCAGAATATTGGCCCCCAGAGTCCAGACCAGATTACGTTGACTGTGAAAAGCAGAAAATGCTAAACCAGCTTCTAAGACTGTACTTTGAAGGTGTGGAAAAATATAACTGCTTATTAATTTTGAAAAACTGAAAGTAAGGAAGCTGTATGAAGGCAAAGTGTGGACACACTAAATCCTTTTTTTTATTTTTTTTTATTTCATATTTAGTGGTTAGGACTTTTTTTCCTGAAGCTGAAAAATGAATAGATTTTATTTCATGGCCATTTTGACTGGAAAATGAATCAATCAAAGAGTGATCTGACTTTTGTACAGAAACTAGTCTTTCTTTGGAAATTGCTCATAAATGCATCATAAATCCCAGCTTTGTGGAGCATCATGAGCATAGGACTTTACTAAATACTGTGGGCAATGCATCAAAGACTCTCTGGACTAATAAAATAAACTTTTTTCTGTTGCTCTTTACCTTTTGTTATAAATCTCACCATTGTTGGGTGGATGCTGATATCCAGACAAAGTTGTAGCTGTGTGTAATTCTTTCAGCTTTTGTAATTAATTCTACGGTTCTATGGGGTGAATAAAATCAGCTAATTTTTATGACCCAACCCTGATCGGTGCTTCATTGTCCAACAGTTTTATCTAAAAGCTTCTTGGTTGTGACAGTGGTGTTTGTTCAGGTATGCACTAATAAACTGTGGAGCCAACGTTAATGACGGTTAGATAGAGAGAATATGCCTTGCCATTTTTCTTACTGTTTGACACAAGATGACCCAGTTGCATTTTATACAATATTAACAGTTTTCCTCTCGTCTCTGTGGTAGGCTTTTAATGAAGGACGTGCAGTCCACTTTGGGCATTTTTGAGGGACAGCCAGGCAACCTTTTTTTTTTTTCTTATGATCAGGCATCCCTAGATAAGGGAAAGTATTATACTGGAGGGAAGCTGATTGCCTGGTCTCTGTTGCATGGGGGACCAGGCATTAAGGCATTACATCCCAGCCTTTATCAGTTAATGTGTGGTCAGGCTCTAGATCTTGAAGGATTTGATATTTCCATCTTGCCAAACAAGTGTGTGCAGGACAAGCTTCAGCAGGTATTCTGACACTTTGCCATTTTTTGCTTTGTTGTTTTGAAGTTAGAGCTCATTTTAAATTTTACAGAAATGAACTTTGAGGGGGGAAAAAGAACCGTGTATTACTTTGTTTCTTATCTCGTACTTTAATATTTTGTTGAACAACCTAAAACACTGTATATTTAATGTAGCCTTAATTTCTGTTTTGGTTTCTATGCCTTGTCTTCTGCTGTATTCTTAGATAAAAGAATGCAAAACTGAGGAGGCATGGAAAAACCTTCAGGACGGTTTGGGTGACTGGATTGCAGACTGTGGTGTGCCAGGGGTATATGAAGCCAAAGTCCATGACATTCCTCAGATACTTTCCCAAGTTGTGAAGCATTTCATCTTTCACAGGTATTATTCCCAGTACTGTCAGGACTTAATGTTTTTTGTGCTCCAGGTATTGCACAGCAATACCTGATAAAATAGTAGACAGGATTTTTTGACTAATATTATTGCTTAGTGCTAATAACGGCTTATTCTGATTGACTAGTTGGTGCGATCCTTCTAGCTAATTATCACTGTAAACTTTTTCTTTTATTCATTTAGTGCAAATATTTAATTTGTTAATTTTTATTTCAGAACTGCAAACATGGTTGAGCAGTTTAAACAAGGAATCAACTCTTGTGGCAAACTTTGGGAAACTGTGGAGAGGTACTGGAACACATTTCAGTGCCTGTTTACACACACAGAGGGACCACTGACAAGAGCTGCCTTTCGGTGTCTTTTTGATGTCATTTGGAGTGACGAAGGGACGAACAACAAGGAAGTTGAAGAGGACACTATGTTTGTATGGGAATGTCTTCTCAACAGTGTGCAAGGTAAAATCCATCCTGCTTGTGAAGTTGATAATGCTGTTGTGTACTTTTTACTGTGCAGTCTGGATGTTATTATGGAACAGTATTTAAATAAAGAGCACAAAATGTTCACAATATCAAAGCTGTGCCACAGTAAATTCCTAGTTTTTGTGTGTGTGTGTGTGTGTGTGTGTGTCTGTTTTTAACAGAAAAACAAACTCCTTTCACCTTTGAGGACCTACTGGTGTTACGGGAGCAGATGCAGTACCACCTCTTGGATTTCCACAGCGACTTCAAATACAGTTTTATGATCAGGGCAATCGTTTTCCTTATGCCTCAACTTGCTCTGTGACACTCTTCTTTCCTCGTGGCATCCAGAATTAAAATGAGTTACTTGATCTGATGACTGATGCTGTACTTGGTTCTTTGGGATTTGGAAAAGTTTAGTCTGTAGTCTAGCCAGCTGTAGAAAGTTTGAAAAAGAATTTCCATAGCTATATGTTCACCTGAGGAATTAATGTTCTACACATTTTACTCTCAGTGTTGAGCCTGCTTTAGTTATTTTATGCATTGCAATGCAAAAAAACTCACTGACCTAAGTGAGTATCTGTGATTTTAAAAAAAGTTATATGCTTTTAAACAAAGCTACAACAAGCTTGTGGATGATGTTAGTCAGTTTAGTTTCTTTTTTACGTTTGACATTTTTAGTATTGTAATCACCTTTGGAACAGTTTCTGTTGGTGCATTACAGTTACAAGAACAACAGTTTAATAAATCTTTGCTGTTGTAAATGGCATGGCTTCTCTATGTAGTGTGTTTTACATGAAAAAAAAAAAAGGGAAATTTTCAGTCTGCTTTGTGTTTACATCCTAACAAGAACTACACATTGATGTTGTGTATATACTGTACAATCTTTTTTGGGCTTTTTTTAGCAAAATGTCAGAAAGCATTAGGCTGAAAGCATAGTGGTGTTCTCCCTACAGCAAGTTAAATATTTGTCTTTCAAATCTGCAATTCTTGTGAGGACATCCTGAAGAATCTGCTGTTGTTCTTCGTTAAGGTGGATGTGTGGTCGCCTCACCACTACTGCCTGGTCAAAGACCTCTTCTTCGGCTTCTAACTGCTCTAGCTGCACACCATGTTGTGCTAGCAGTGTTTCCAAGTTGTCCTCACTGTATGGGTTCTCACCAAAAACGTTGCTGATTGCAGTACTGTCTACTAGCTGGTTGCCAACCATGCCCTCCAGCCACTTTTGGTTAGGGGTGCAATAATTTTCGCTCCTCATGCTGTGGTTGTTCCATGCATTTCTGAAAGTGTTCAATCTCTCTCTAATTTCTGGCAGGTACACTGTTTGGAGCGAGTATTTCTGGATTTCATTGTCTGGTTCCAGAAGGCCTTCATTCTCGTAAGAGTAAAATAACTTGTAATAGTAATGGATGACATGTGTGAACACATCCCTCCAGAGGCGTTCAATTCGTTGATTGTGGACTGATAGCCCAGTAATGTGGCTACCTCGTCCTTCCCCATTCAGCAGGTTCATTAACAGTGCTACCAGTGTATTTTCACCCCCTTGATCCGATCTGACCCTTGAGGGAAGTCCGTACCGACAGGTTGCCCTAACAACGTGAGCCAGAACTGTCTGGGCAGTGTTGTCTGTACTGGCGGTCAGGTAGGTGATAACCGGTGAATATCCGTCTATACCGCCGTGCGTCACTATACCCCAGCTGGGAAAACAGACGTGAGTGTTTTAAGAGTCGGGTTTATCATTACATCATCACAAAAATGCCAAATTCATTGAACAGAATTAAATTACACGTAATTTTACCGTATGAGGCGCATGTGTCCGTCGATGTGCCATAGACTGTTCGGAAACGGTACATGATATGTGCGCCTTGCAATAACGTTGATCCACCTTTGCGCAGCTGCTGCGGGATTGATTCTGTTCAGCGTGTCGCGCACTCGACGTCGAGGAACCTGTATACCCGCAGCAGAAAGATAGCTCCTCATCATCTACCAGGACAGTTCTCAAAATTAGACATACATTAACTAGGCAACGTTTTCCTATAGAAGGTTAACAGATTTTCGAATGGATGGCTTAACTGCAAGAATTCAGCCTCTTACCTCACAACCTGACCTGGGATGTTGTTGATGTAGCGTTCTTACGAGCTGTTCGAGATCACGGTCACTGATCGGAGTAAATCTTTGTCTAATGGAAATGCCCAGAGATCTTAGTTTTCTATAAATGAAGGATGACGAGCAACCAAGAAGCCGTGCCATCGCCTTCGCCTTAAATCCTTGGTTCAATAAAAGTTCCAGTTGTTCTCTTGATACATCTATTCTGGGTCTTCCACGGGAGCCTGAAATATCCAATGCGAGCAACACACTGAACACAGGCAATGTTCAAAGCGTAGTTACAGAACTAATCAGAGAAGTATTTTGAATTAATGCAGTAGGCCTGCATAGTGGTTGTTTAATGCATACCGGTGCTACTACGCTGAGCAGAGTATGAAGTAGTTGGCACATCAGCAGTTATGGAAGACTGTAATGCAGTCAGACACTCAAACAACTCTGTGAACGTTTCAAGGTTCAAATGGTGCTCAATACGACACAGATTAGCAATGAGAGAATAAATAATACCAACATCGCGCAGGCCTCCATTGCTGCCTTGCTGGAAGTTTCTTTCTATTAGCCTGACTCTCCTCATAATCTTCCCAAGAACTAAGTCCGCCATTGCCAGAGTTTAACAGTAGTCTACGCTGAAGCAGTATGGCCTCGTCGTGTGTGCACGTACGTCACAGAGGAGACAGGAGCACTTTCATTTAAAGTGTTGTGAAACATTCACGTTTTTAAAGCTTTTTTTAATGTATTTTTTAAATATGCTGCAAGATCTGTTAAGTACAAGCTTTACTATTTTTTCCCGAAAACTAAATTTTACAATGTACGTGGAACTTGGTGTTGTCTCTTTAAGAAAAGCACAAACCAGATTATCTCCGCCTTCACATCCACATGCAAATCAAGATAATTAACATTAGAACATGTAATAATTTCTACATGTTAAAATTCAATTTTCACTTGCACAAATTTTATTGTAAAAAAAGTCGAATATTAAAACACTTTACATAGTTATTTGCAGTTTTGCTGAGCTGAACATACGAAGCTGCACTCACCACGGCAGCGTGCACACGCTCTACTGCCGAGGCTGCACCGAATCACCAATATATATAGGAGCTGTGATACGCTGACCGACCAGCAGGTGGTGCCACACAACATTAATACAACTATTGTACGCCGTTACATATACACATTAATTCAGTGTCAGAATTTCATTGTTAACTATTTACCACGTAGGTCTGTTTAATGTTGAATGTAGGTTATTTTTCCATCATCGTTAAACAACAAAATGCAACCGTAATTCAGCATTGAATCAATGTACTTCTGCTATCTGGGGAGTATTTCTAGTGGATAAGCGCTCTCGGAGACCTTTTTTTTCCAACGTCTGCCTGTAAAAACACAGTGGGGCTAAAATGATCAGAGCAGCGCTGAGTTCACTGAGAAACAGTAGGTAATTCGGCCTGTAATGTTCTCAGAAGGTGGGGAGAAAAACACAGACAGGGCCAATTCGGACAGAAATAAAATCACAGGAGCACCCGTGAAAGAAGAAAATCACCCCAGGACCCCGTGTAAATTTGATCCTGTCCGAACTGGGCTTACGTTGTGAATGGAGCTCCATGGAATTCTGCAAAGTTGCCAAAAGGTAGTTTTAATACCTGACAACCTTACTGAATAATGAGGTTGTGACAACGTCGTGACAACCTTGTTCAGACAACGTAAACAGCACCGCCTTTTGACAACGTTGTAAGAAAACAGACAACGTTGTGTGTTTGCTGGGATCATGAAATCGTTGTTTTAGGCGTTTGTTGTTTTAGGCGCTCAAACGCTTTGTATAGCTGTTTATAACAGAAATAGCTGTAATAAATAGCTGTTATAGCTATTTCTGCTACAAAATACCCTTCAACTGCAATGGAACCGACCTAAAATCACAATTTCATGAGAACGAATACTACTACTATAACTTGAGTGACTAAACTTGTACAATCATGAAATCATTCATGTGGTTTTAGCCGTTTGGTTACACTGAAAAGGCGTTTTCTGCACCCCACAAGCGCTCAAATGTTTTGTAAAAGCCAGGGCTGCTCTGCAGTATTATTTTTAAGTGAAAACATTATAATGATAATAACCAGACATTTCTGCTTAATTTCTGCTATGGAACCGACCTAAAATCACATTTTCATGAAAAAGAATACACTACTTTAACTTGGGTGACTAAACCTGTACAATCATGAAATCGTGGTTTTAGGCGTTTGGATACACTGAAAAGGCTTTTACTGCACTCCACAAGCGCTCAAATGCTTTAGAAGAGCCAGAAACGATATGCACCCTTATGTACCACGGTAAAGTTAGTTTTATGTTCTATATTCGTCTTTTCGGCGCTTATAACATTTGATCGGACTACGGTAGTCAGTAAAGACTAAAAGGACACGTGTGCTTTTGCAGTTTGGGTGACATTTAACGTACCACTCTATTTGTGTTAATACCATAAAACTGAGACAAGTTTTTCAATCGGAAGAAAAAGCATGCACTTCTAGACCACGCCTACATCCATGCACACGCATTTGTTTTCCTCCAAAGCGTTTCTGTGCATTTAAATACATATTTTAATTGTTCATGCTAACAATAGACACCGTCAGACGATAATACGTCAATAGCTCCGTAAACACTGTGTCCATACACATCTGATTAATTGTGTTTTTGCATTTTTTTCATTTTGAATTTCGATAACATTTTAGACTTTGAACATGTAAATCAGCAGTGTTTGGTGCAGATACTTTTCAGTAATGACACACAAACTTTGAATTTTACTTGAGGATATAATGTAGCTAAAATACTGCTTAGGTTCAAAATGTAGCATTCACTGCAATTAATGCAGCTGAAATGCTTTTGAAGGTTAAAATACAAATATTAATATAAAGTAATTATTGCAGTACATTCAAAATTCAAAAGCTGCGTATGATTGCTGAAACTTAACTGCACCATACACAATTGTTTGTAGTGTTTGGTATAATACAGCGGAAATGCTATTGAAATTCAAAATTGATAAAAGTTAATAAAGCATAGTTACAGCAATATATTCCAAAATCCAAAGGCTGTGCATCATTGCTGACACCTTGCTGCACCATATACAACTGTTTTTAATGTTGTATATAATTTAGCTAAAATATTATTGAAATTCAAAATAAATAAAAATTAATAAAAAGTAGTTACAGCAATATATCCAAAATCCAAAGGGTGTGCATCATTGCTGACACCTCACTGCACTATACACAACTGTTTTTAACGTTGTAT